CCACCCACCCCCTTTGGACCACCTTCTTCAAGCTGTCTTCCAAATACGGACCAGAAGGTGGATGGATGGTACATAGACAGGGGAGAAAACTAGGGGAAAAGACAGAGAACTTAAAATAACTGAAAGGAACAGTTTAAAGCATGTCTTGCAGTGGGAAAATATTCTAAACTTATAAAAATACATTGGGAAAAAGCAGCACTGGTTTAAATTTACTTGTGGGGTTTCGCAGTTTTGCAGAACGTGCCACGGCAAGATCAAAGTGAGCCTGGTCTGCATTCTCACACAGATTGATGATTCGACACAGGCAATCAGCAGCAAATACCCGAGTGGCCCAGCGAGGTGCCACAAAGGGCTTTGATTTATCTTCTTCACCTAGTGTGGTAAACATGGTATCATCATCCATCTCATCTTTCTTTTCAGATTCTTCATCTTTTCCACTACTTAAGAGAGTTGCAGTACTCATATCTGTAACAAAAATATAAGCATATTATAACAATATCCTATCTAGCAATAAAAGATACTTTAGAAATAGCATTAATATTAGAAGATTTCTAATAAAAAAAGACTAAATTCTCACTCTCTGGAAAACAAGAGAATTCTCCAGTTTATTATTTTTTTTTAACAAACAATCAAATACCACGGAAAGAATAACAGAAAACTAATTTATATTTTTCACTAGTTTTGCATACTATATTGAACTACAGTATAACTTGGGATTTTACACACAAAAATTTAGTTTCAACTTAGCTATCTTCCAAAAATGTATAGAAAGTTCATTACTTTGTAAGGTAATTTAATCTTCAACATTTTACAGGGATTTACAGATTAAAAATTACTAGTATATTTAAATGTAAGCTCAAATTTATGCATATACGTATACACCCCCCCACATATATATCTAAAATAAAACCATTTTCATTATTTTAAGAACATATTTAACATATTAAATACATACCACTAGAAGCTGCCAGAACATCTTTACAAAGCATTAGCCAATGGGACAGTTTTTCTATTGCCAGAGATGAAAGCATATGTCCCAAAGTGTCATGAATATCAGAACATAATTTTCGATCTGTCTCCCGGTCTAGCATTCCAAAAAGAAGTCCTTCAAGACCAGTTTCTGTTATATTAACACCTTGGTGTCGGCAATGGATATCACTTCGAGAACTAACCCCAGGTGCAAAAGGATTGACATCTGAAAAGTAATTTTTACAAATGAACATGCAAAGGATTTTGTTGTATACTACAGACAACAATTGTGATATGACCATGTTAATTCACAACTGGAAAAACCAGATAGCTATATACGCAATTTGACATGGTGTTGTCTACAGTTGACATGGCTTTAGGATTAAAATGTAATCTGACAATAAAGGTAAGACCCTGCTCTGATGTTTAAGACCGATTATTATGAGTTATTTTAAACAATTCTCCAGAGAATACTCAATAAATGTATTTGATTAACAAAATCTTTAAGTGTGTGAAAGAAACATACTTCTAATAATTCCGACTCATGGCACACCCATGTATGTCAGAGCAGAATTGTACTCCACAGGGTTTTTCAATGGCTGATTTTTTGGAAGTACATTACTAGGGCTTTCCTCTTAGATGCCTCTGGGTGGACTCAAACTGCCAACATGTTAGTTGGCAGCCAAGTACATTAACCATTTGCACCACCCAGGGCCTCCAATTATAAGTGGATTGGTATTCTAAAAGTTCATTTAAAAATTTGGAAAATCTTTCCAAGTACCATATAATCAAAGTAATATTATTATGAAATAGAGGTTAAATTTCTTGCTTAATCCAAAAATATTTTTATAAGCAGCAGCAGTAGTACAACTCGTAGCCTTGAGAATGAATACTATCAGGCTCTCTGAAGTACAGAGCCCTCTGAACCCCAAAGGGTGTAAGATAGAGGGATGTAGGCTGAAAGGTGGCTCTTTCAGTTGGGTTGCCCCAAAGATAGAATAAGGCGGGTTTGCAGAAAATAGCCACAGTGGGGGAAATTGAAAGACAGTAGCAAAAGTAGAAAGAAAGAGTTCCAAGGAAAGAGAACAATATTAGGGAAAGATTAGGCACAGAGGCTTTTTTCCCACTTAATAGTATACAGTGAACATTTTCCTGTATCAGAAATTATATTTCTACGATGTGAATTTTACCATATTTCAACATAAAAATTTTATATAAAAAGTAATATTCATTTGAAATGTGAAAGCATTTAACAAAAAAGGATATTGACCAATAACATAACTTACTGACACCACTGCTCTCTTTGTCCCCTGCATTTTTTGCCAGGCTCATGGCATATTCACATACTTCAGCTGCTTCTCTTTGTGCAAGCTGCCGGAGACACGCTACAGCTGCCCGTCGAAGTAACAAGTGGGAACTACATAAGTGAACCTGCAAACAATAAGAATCTTAGGCAAAATTTTTTAAGAAGCTGTAATTCTTTAACGTCACTGGCTCAATGACTAGATAGCAATACCTTACTTGTGAAGAAGCTTTTCATTTAACAACCTCACCTATTTAAAATAGAGCTTTCAGAAAAATAACATCATTAATAAAAAATACAATATTTTAGTAGCCAAATTAGCTGTCCCAAGCTCTGCGCACTAAAGTTCATGACATATACTTAGATGAACACTCAGAAGGATCTTCTGCACATCTTATTTTACATATGGTCCTACCAAATTTTGTAATCTAAATTTTAAGTGGACAGAGATTAGATGTAATGAATAAAAAGTTAGGGGGCAGAATGCTGCTGTGAGTGGGGTACAATGACTGCAGTAAGAATTTAAAGCAAATAAGGGTATTTATTAAAAATAAAAACTAAAAACGAACAAACATAAACACCTGAAAAGAACTGCAAAATGAGGTTTTGGTATGAAATTTTTATTCTCAGAATTCCCTGAAAGCATCAGTATAATATAATACAAGCAGTAAAGTATAAGAGGCTGTATAACATAATGGTTAAGGGCTCAGGTGCTAGACTGTCTGAGTTTGAATTCTGGCTCTGTCACTTTAGACAACTTACTTAAACTCTCTGCGCCTTGATTTTCTCATACATAAAGTGAGAAATACTCTGGGGATAGTAATTCTTCACAGGAATATAGTGGAAATAAAATAAGCTAATATAAGTAAAATGTTTAGAACAGTGTCTGGCACGTGGTAATTGCTCAATAAATATTTGGGCACTCAAGATGGATGCTTTGAATTACTTTGAAAATTCAATTATGTTGAACACGTCACTCCTTAACAATGCTTAAACTGGCTGCCATCAAATTGGTTTTTATTCATGGTGTCCCCATGTGGGTCAGAGTAAAACTGTGCTTTGTAGGGTTTTCAATGCCCGATTTTTTGAGAAGTAGATTACCAGGCCTTTCTTCTGAGGTGCCTCTAGGTGGATCCAACTGCCAACCTTTCAGCAAGCACCTAAATTTGTTAATCATTTGCACCACCCCGGGACTCCTTACCAATGCTAGATTGTAGTATGTTTTTATTCTGTTTATACAGCATTTGTAATTCAAGATATATTTACATAAAATTCATAGCTCATAAAACTTACACCAAATATTAGTAATAGTTTACCACTGTACAAATTTTAATACTTTCATCATTTAATAAAGATTACTATGGTGAAACTTACCTCTCAATACATTTTCTGAAGATACCACATTTCGTTTCTGTAAGGTATTATAAGTGGTGGTGCAAACAGTTAATGCACTCAGCTACTAACTGAAAAGTTGAAGGTTTGTGTCCACCCAGAGGAACTTCAAAATAACAGTCTAGTGATCTACTTCCAAAAAAATTAACCACTGAAACCCCTATAGAGCACACTTCTACTCTGACACACATGGGGTCACCATAAGTTGAAACTGACTTGACAACAACTGTTATTTTTTTATTACACGCTAAACAACATCACATAATACAGTCATTTCTGCCGGCAGTGATTGAATAGAAATGAACATAAAATTTATAAAAATCTAATTTCACCAATTTGGATAACCTATCTGTAGGCTATTTTTCAGAGAGTGTCATAAGATCTGGTCAATGCAGACAGCAAGAGGACTTTAGGCAATGTGGAAACAAGACAAACACCTGAATGGCCCTTTTTCTCACCTTTAACCTGCCACACCTTCTCCTTCCTATCAGCTGCTTGTAACCTCACCTCTTACACTTTTGGACCAGGTTCAGGAAAGTGCTCTAACATGTCCTGTAATAAAACCTCTGATGCTCTGCTAATCAGACTGGAGACTTTATTTCGCATTAATGTATATGAAATTCATTGTACTTCCCGTGGCTTATTGATAAGCTCACCTAAGATAAAAATACTTGTCTTGATTTACTTTACCAAGGGCTCTTAAATGTGTCCCATCTGATAAGGTCAACCTCCATAGTATAATTATACTAAAGGAGAAAAAAATGGAGAGACGAACCAGACAACCTGAGGGCTACGTGACTTCATCACATTTGTCAGTTGCCGTTTTAAGCTATATCATGTAACAAGTTTACCAATGCTAAAGAGATGCTATCTGTGACCTCAAAGCATGAATCAGACCATCTCACTCAATACCCTGACAATATTTCATACAGCTGACCACTCCTTCTCCATTTGGCTTCTGTGAACATCATGATCTCTATTTACCCCTGAATCTCTCTGGCTTCTGCTGCTCCATTTTCTTTGCTGACTCCTTTTCTTTTCCTAAACTTAATATGTTGGGTTCCTCATCCACCCTCTCGCTGGTGATCTCACCTACTCTTATATATTTACTCAACATCTGAATGCTTGTTGTTGTTAGTTGCCATCGAGTTGGTTCCGACTCACGGCAACCTTAAATATAACAGAACAAAACTCTGCCTGGTCCTGTGCCATCTTCATGATCATTGGTATGTTTGAGTCCATTGTTGCAACTACCGTGTGAATTCATCTCATTTTGTTTTCACTGGCCCGCTACTTTATGAAACACGATGCCCTTTTTTTTAGCAATTGGTCTTTCCTGATGTGTTGAAAGTAAGTGAGTTAGAGTTTTGCCATTCCTACTTCTAAAGAACATTCTGGTTGTATTTCTCCTAAGAGTGATTTGTTTGTTCTTTTGGCAATCAATAGTATATACAATATTCTTTGCCAACACCACAACTGGAACGCATTGTTTCTTCTGTCTTCCTTTTTCATTGTCCAGCTTTCACATGCATATGATGTGACTGAAAAGACCCTGGCTTGGGTCAGATGCACCTTAGTCATCAAAGTAACATTTTTTTGCTTTTAAAAACATTAAAGAGATCTTTTGCAACAGCTTTGTCCAATGCAATGTTGGTGTTGTTAGGTGGTGTCAAGTCGGTTCGGACTCACAGCAACCCTATGTACAACAAAAAGAAACAGTGCCTAGTCCCACGCCATCCTCACAATCATTGTTATGTTTGAGCCCACTGTTGCAGTCGTTGTGTCGGCTCATTTCGCTGAGGGTCTTCCTCTTTTTAGCAGATCCTCTGCTTTACCAAGCATGATGACCTTCTCCAGGGACTGGTCCCTCCTGATAACATATCCAAAGTATGAGAGACAAAGTGTCACCATCCTTGCTTCCAAGGAGCACTCTGGCTGTCTTTCTTCCAAGACAGACTTGTTCCTTCTTCTGGCAGTTCATGGTATGCTCAATATTCTTCGCCAATACCATAATTCAAATAGATCAGTTCTTCTTCGGTCTTCCTTATTCACTGTCCAGCTTTCATATGCACATGAGGCGATTGACAATATCATGGTTTACATGGGTGAATCTGGAGGGCATTATGTTAATGAAACAAGTCAATCACAAAAGGACAATTACTATATGAGACCACTATTATAAAAACTCATGAAAAGGTTTACACACAGAAAGAAACAATCTTTGACGGTTACAAGGGAGGGAAAAACACCAACTAGATAATAGATAAGTGGTAACTTTGGTGAAGGGTAAGACAGTCCACAATACTGGGGAAGTCAGCACAGCTTGACCAAGGCAAAGTCATAGAAGCTTCATAGACACATCCAAACTCCTAGAGGGATTGAATTACTGGGCTGAGTGCTGGGGACCATGGTCTCAGGAGACATCTAGCTCATTTGGCATAAGACAGTTTATAAAAAAAATGTTCTACATCCTACTTTGGTGAGTAGCATCTGGGGTCTTAAAAGCTTGTGAGTGGCCATCTAAGACACTCCATTGGTTCTACCCAGTCTGGAGCAAGGGAGAAAGAAGAAAACAAAACAAAAAAAAGAAACAAGAAATAGAGGCTTAAAGGAGTTGAATAACTTGCCCAGGATCACACTAATAAATAGTATTAGTCCAATCATTAAAAAAAAAAGAAGAAAACAGAAGATAGAAGGGAAAGATTAGTCCAAAGGGCTAAGGGACCACAACTACCACAGCCTCCACCAGACTGAATCCAGCACAACTAGATGGTGCCTGGCTACCACCACTGACTGCTCTGACAGGGATCAGAATAAAGGGTCCTGGACAGAGCTGGAGGAAAACGTAGAACAAAATTCAAAGTCACAAAAAAAAGATCAGATTTACTGGTCTGACAGAGACTAGAGACACCCCAAGAGTATTGCCCCTGAACACCCTTTTAATATTTAACTCACTCCTGAGGTTCACCTTCAGCCAAGGATTAGACAGGTCTATAAAACAAACAATAATACACATAGCTCAACTATGTATACGTGACTAAATGGGCACATTAGCTCAGGGGCCAGGACGAGCAGGCAGGAGGGGACAGGAAAGCTGTACAAATGGAAATGGGGAACACAAGGTCAGGGAGGACAGAGTCTTGACACGTCGCGGGGTTGGCAAACAATGTTACAAAATAATATGTGTATTGTTTAATGAGAAACTATTTTGCTCTGTAAACTTTAATCTAAAGCATAATAATAATCAAAAAAATACATCCCAGTTTGGGTCGGGTGTACTTTAGTCCTCAAAATGACATCTTTGCTTTTTAACATTTTGAAGAGGTCTTTTGCAGCAGATTTGCCCAATGCAATACGTCCTGACTGCTGCTTCCACGGGCGCTGATTGTGGATCCAAGTAAAATGAAATCTTTGAAAACATCAATCTTTTCTCCATATATCATAATGCTGCTTATTGATCCAGTTGTGAGAATTTTTGTTTTCTTTATGTTGAGGCGTAATCCATACTGAAGGCTGTAGTCTCTGATCTTCATCAGTGAGTGCTTCAAGTCCTCTTTCCTTTCAGCAAGCAAGTTGTATCATCTGTATATCTCAGGTTGTTAATAAGTCTTCCACCAATCCTGATGCCACATTCTTCTTCATATAGTCCAGCTTCTATCTGCTCAGCACACAGACTGAATAAGTATGGTGAAAGGATGCAACCCTGATGCGCACCTTTCTTGATTTTAAATCACGCAGTTTCCCCTGTCTCTGTTTGAACGACTGACTCTTGGTCTATGTACAGGTTCCTCATGAGCACAATTAAGTGTTCTGCAATACATCATTTGATTTCTTGACTGCTGCTTCCATGGACATTGATTGTTGATCCAAGTAGAATGGAAGTGTTGACAACTTCAACCCTATGGATATGAATGCTTATGCCTCCCAAGTTTATCTCTCTAGCCAGACTTCTCTTTTCTAAGCTGCAGGCTCATATAACTAACTATCCATATGTCTAAAATCGAATTCATGATATCCACTCCTCCCAACTTTCTCCTCTTCCAATGTTCCCAATCTCAGAAATCTGGGCCTCAGACTTCTTTTCTCTTTAATCCTACAATCAATTTATCAAGAAACTCTTTATCAAAATTCTTCCTCCTAAATATCAATCAAATTCATCTAGTTTTCTACTTCCATTGCTACCAACTTAGAGCAAGCTACTGTAATCTCCTTCTAGACCACTCTAATTCTCACCCTGTAGAGTCCATTCTCCACTGTGCAGCAAGAATCAAATTTTAAAAGTGCAAATCTGATCATATTATTCTCCTCTGGAATACCTTATAATAGTTTCCCATTGCTTGTAGAATTAAGTGTCCAAAGGTTTAATATATTTAGAAAGTCCTGCGCGATCTGTCACCTGGCTAACTGTCCAGCCTCGTCTTGTGCCACTCTCCCATGCTCCTCCTTTTTCAGCCTTACGCACAGTGACTAACCAGTTCTTTAAATGTATCACACTCCTTCCCATCTCAGGATCTTCCACACTTTTTTTCCCTTCTCCCCTAAAAAATGCTGCCCACTTCACTATCATGCCGTTTTCCAAACTAACCCCTATTTGTCCTGTAGCTCACAATTTAAATACCATTTTTTCAAGGAAGTCTTTTCTGAACACCTGGATTGTGACAGGCCCCTGCTGCATGCTCTCTTGCGCCCTATACCCTTTTCTAGCACTTACCTTATTTGTAAATAATTACTATTGTCTACATTCCCTTGTAAACTATAAACTTTATTATGACAGAGGCTTAGTTTTATCTAATTCATAAATATATCCCCAGTACTTTGCATAATGCCTGACATATAGCAGGCTCTCAATAAATATTTGTTGAATGAATAAATTAACAATTGTGATGATAGTAACCGATATTCAGAAGTTGTTAATCAAGATTTAGGAGATAAAATTCTGAATGGGAATGACTAAACAGTTCACCAAAATATTTTTTAAGAGGTAAAAAAGAAAACCAGTGAATAAACATAATGAACATAAAATGACAATTGAAGCTGAAATTCTAGAATTCACACACCAGGAAACTTACATTTTTTTTGTTTTGTTCTGTTTGTTTTTTTGGGAGACAAATTTGGAGGCTTCCTAAATAAATCAATGAATGAAGCAGCTTTATACTTACGCAAAGGCTAGGAACAAGACTAGATAGATTGACGTGTCGTGGTGCAAACATGTGAAGCTGCTGAAGGCACGATATGGCAGCTGCCTGAACGAGAGAATCTGAATGGTCCTGGGTTATTGCGCAACCCACTAAACAAGAGGAACGGATTGTAGAAATTGTTGCTCCATTCCCTAGCAGCAAAATAAAATGTAAATTACAATTATCTTATTAATAATACAGAAAAATATTCCTAGAAAACAATTATCTCCTAAAAAAAAACCCCTTCCTTCTGATTACTATTTAGGTAGTTATAAAAACAAAAGGTCTGCAAAGTTCATAGAAATCATTTCAAATCACAAGTGTATTTGGATGTCAATAATGCATCTTTCTTAGATTTCGCTAGGTTTACATCTATTATATTTTACTAGATTTACATTTATTTCACCTGGTTTACATTTCTTCTTTCAAACCCATCATTGTTTTATTTGAAAGAGTCGGATGATTCCTTATTCTCTGTTCAACCAACATTATACTATTATTATATGACAACTTCAAATCCTCTTCTTCTAAAAAGACTAACGGCAATTTTTACAGAACTAATTACTTTGTAACTAATATTACAAAATAAATTGTAATATTATATACTCTCTCTGTAACACTTTAATTGCTAAATAGAAGGGATTTAAAAATGTTACTAATATAGAACAAAGTGATTTCATATGCATATAAAGACTGAACAAGGAAATCATAGAGTCACACTGTAGTTTTCCAATAAGCACTGTCCCATCATCATCACATCAGTGAGCACCTGGTAAACACCCATGCTTAACCCAACAGTGCCTGTTTATTCCTTCTACATCCCTGTGACTGAAAGAAAAAAAATATCCTCACTTTATCAAAGAGGATACTGAGAAAAAAAACATGTCTAAGTCATACACCTTAAATTCCTAGCATTCTTCCTTAAGACATTTTTTTTTTCCTGTCTTTTTTTTTTTTAAATATTTGTCCAAATGGAAGCAACAAAGCATACTGGTTAAGAATACAGACCGAGGAAATTGATCTGTGCTTGATCTCTGGCTCCAACTACTCACTGGGTATATACAATCTTGGAAATGTTTCTTAACTTCTCTTACCCTAAGTATTTCACCTCTACAATGGGGATAATACCTATCTCAGTAGTGTTGACAATTAAATGAGGTAATGTATATGAAAGTTTGACCCATTGAAAGCATTTAATAAATGACAGGGGGAAAAGAGGAAAACTCTGAAAAGTGGTTTATATACTTGGAAAAAATTCACAATAATTTGCTTACTTGAATGTTCACTTTAACCATTAATAGAATTATTTCAGTGGAACTGAGTGGTAAGAACTTGGACTTTAGAATCATACATGTGCCACTCATTAGTTGTATAACTCTAGACAAGTTCCTTATCTCCTCTGAGCTTGCTTTGTCACAGAAAAACTAGGTAACATCATCTACCTTAGGGCAGTGGTTTTTCAGACTATGTTCCTGATCCTTAGAGTTCTGAAAAAAAAAGAAAAAGAAAGCAAAAGTGCAGGAAGACAAATGGATGGCACTTCAGGCCAAAGGAACTCCATCTTTATCTTTGTTTTCTTCGGGGGTCCAAGTAAAATTTCATTTAGAAACGTTTTCTCTGTTCAAATTATACAGGTTATTATAAGGATTAAATAAAATGGCACATGTAAAAAGCAAGTGCCAGGACTTCAGTAAATTGCAAGCATCCAATACACAGAAATTACTATTATTACTACAAACTTTCTTTAAGCAACATGAAGCTGATACTTAGGAAATTGAAAGATATAATTGTCTAGTTGCTTTAATTTAAAATGCATTTACTTACCTTGTAGTTCAGGGCCAACGGTAGTTATTATTGCACCTAAGCATCTACCTAAACACTGATGAACTTCTGTATGTGAAGGTGGAACTGTCAACAACAAGGTAAGAACAAGAGATAACGTTGGTTCCACATATCCACGATACATTGGGCCACTAGAATCCACTATCAAAGCAAGCGAATGAAGAGACCAAGTCTGGAATAAAATGTGATTTTATTTTAGTTCAAAGGAATAATTAGTACATACTGAACTGATTTTTTTAATTTAAAATTTAGTAAATCTAACATCTTAGTTTTTAATCAATGATTTAGAAATACATTAAAATATATTCCTTCAGAAATAAAAGGTAGCATATAAGTTACCAATAACCAATAACCAAAGTAACTGGTATACAAATGCAATGTTTACAGTTCCTCTGCACTGTGGCTTTGAGTGTCAGAGATGAAATTTCAATGATGAATTCATTTTCTTCTATTATGATATTCATATATTTCACCCTTCCAAATTATAATGACTTCTATAATAAGTTTTTGATTCAGTGTATGCTTATGGACATCAAGTATGTCTTTATTGTCTGTCTTGCTGGTGTTTTGCTAAAAAACTAGTCTGAAATAAAACAATGACCATAACAACCTTCTGTACTCATATATTCCTAGAGCAATGACATTTACACGAGAGCTTTTAAAGTGCATATAACCACTTTAGACCCCTATTTATGTCAACTAAGCACAAAGTAAGTAATCTTACTGATTAATTTAACCAGTAACTTAACTGGAATCAACTCGACGGCATTGGGTTTGGTTAACCCGAAGTGACTCCAGAGCAATATATTGTAATCAGCACAGGCCTGAGAAAAGTAAAAGACCTTTAAGCTGCTCGCATCCAGCTGTAGAAAAATTAATCTTTCATTTTTGCTGTTGGTTGCTCTAAAGGGGAGCTGTACTACTGGGATGAGGACAGAGAGACCTCAAGTTCTCTAACTTGCCAAGACTTGGGAAAAAATTCCTACCTTAACTTCTACTACCTGTCAATCAACCCCAGTCCTACAGAACTCAGCAACCTGACTTGGACAGGTCTGTATAGAAACCACACCTACTGATAAGAGTCGGCAAAAAATAATAGGAATACAGCAACTTGAAGGAAGAAGACCAGAGCACACACGGTGAAGAAAAAATTAATGAAAGAAACAAAAGAGGACTTTAACAAAACTATAATAAGAATTTTTAAGGCAATACAATTAAGAATCAAAGAAAATTCTAGAAGAGTTTTAAAAAACAGATTTATGATATTAAAAACTCAGTAGAAAACTGGAAAAATCGATAGTGATTGAAAACCAAATCATTATCTTGAAGGTCAAATGGAAGAAATACTCTATAACAGAGTAAAAACATAAAAATAATGAAGAAAAAGAAGAGACCTGGTATATGAATAACAGGAGCTCCAGAAAGAAATAAGGAAAAGATAGAGGGGTATTTTATACAGAATTTGATGAAATTTCTAGGCTTCAATGATAGAGTCAAAATTCTTATGCACAGCCAGACCAAAATATAAGGTTATAGACTTATATTCATATTTCAGATAAGTTTCTTAGCAAAATCACTGAAAAGATGGGGAATCAAGACAGCCATAATGCCCATAAGCATCCATTAACTCAGAAGCTTATTACATAAGCCACTGTCTTTTGGAAGTGTGAAATATATGCACATTATAAAAAAAGAAAATGAGTTTATCACTGAAGTTTTACTTCTAGACACCCAAAGAGTCACTGCAGAGAGAGAAACTGTAAACACAGCATTTGTACATCAGTTACTATTAACTTGTATTTCCTAAGAAATATATTTGAAAGTTCTTATAACTGATTAAAAATTAAGATGTATTTACTACAATTTAATTTAAAAAAAAAATCAAGCTGCCATTAACTTCTCATGTGAAACATCAGAAGATAGAAAAGAATGAAATTTTTTTTTTAATTTACAGAAAAAGACTGTGCCAGAAATAGTATACTCAACTATCATTCGAATATGATGGCAAAAGAAATCCACTTTCAGACATGCAAGAATTTAAGAAATACATTACTCAGGGGCCCTTTCTAAGAAAATCATTACTGGAGGAAGTTCTTCTATCAAATAAAAGTAAAATCAGAACAAAGATCTCAAGATAAGAGTTGAGGATATAGAAAACATTGTTGAACAATACATCTCTAGTAATTATAGTCAGATCGTTATTGTTGCTGTTATGTGCTGTTGAATTGACTTTCGACTCATGGTGAACCCATGTGTCAGAGTAGAACTGCCCTGTAGGGTTTTCTAGGCTGTAATCTTTACAGGAGCAGATCGCCAGGTCCTTCTCCTGAGGAGCCACTGGGTGGGTTCAAACTGCCCACGTTTATGTGCCATCAAGTCGATCTGGACTCCTATTGACCCTACAGGACACAGTATAACTGCCCCATAGGGTTTCCAAGGTTGCAAGTCTTAATGGAAGCAGACTACCACATCTTTCTTTTGTGGAGCAGCTGGTGGGTTCAAACCACCGACCCTTTTGGTTAACAGCAAGTGCTTAACTACTGCACCACCAGGGCTCCTCCTCTTGGGTAAATACCAGTAGACAATAATGTAACTGTGAAGTATAAAACTGAATCACGATTGTGCTATTCTTGCACAGATATAAAATGAAATAGTACCTTGCAGGCAATGTAATTCATACAAATTACAGTAAAATGTCCTGTCATATAAAAGGAACTATGTACAACAGTCACTTAGGAAAGTTTGGTTTTAAGAAATCAAAGTAAGAGGTTTGAGAAAAAGATGAACACAAGAGGAAAAAGAAAACTAGTTTCTACTTCCTGACATAAGGGAAGAAAGCACAACTTCTTAGGAATAATCATTTTAAAACTTGTTATTTTCGTTCAGACTAGTATAAAAGAAGCATAAAAAAGGAGCACAGCCCCTCTTAGGGGTCTGGATTACTTGCTGTTTGTTCTTAACCCTTTTGAAAATTTTATGCTTTGCAGAGCTGGAGAACTTTACCAAGAAATAAAAGGCAAACTAACCCTATGTATTAGAAGCTTCTAGTGGATTCAGTGTCTTTATCCAATCACAAAGGCACTCATTCATTAATAAGCTAATAGCAGGAAATAATGGAAATTAATCACTACTTGTCTGTCAGTTTGTCCTACTGCAGTGGCTTGTGTGTTGTTATGATGCTGGAAGCTATGCCATCTGTATTTCAAATACCAGCAGGGTTAACCATGGTGGACAGGTTTCAGCTGAGCTTCCAGACTAAGACTAGGGAGAAAGGCTTAGCAATCTATTTCTGAAAATTAGCCAATGAGAATTCTATGGATCACAACAGAATATCATCCAATATAGTGCTAGAAGATGAGCTCCACAGGTTAGAAGGCACTCAAAATACACAGCAGCCACAACGGACTCAAGCATACCAACGTGAAGATGGCACAGAACCAGGCAATACTTTGCTCTGTTGTACATGTGGTCGCCATGAGTCAGAAATGATTCAATGGCAACTAACAACAACAATGGCAATTAAATTTGCCTCTTCTCCCAACCTGTGAGTCCCAATATGAAGCTGGCAAGTTGAATGCTCTTGCCTGCGTACATTCTTAAGACTTTTAGGTTCATCAGTGTGAAGTGGCAAATCAAGAGTGCAGAATATTTTCACACATGTAAAAATCCAGCCCTTCATTGTAGTTATATAAATTTGTATATAAAATGCTTAAGGAGAAACAAAACAAAGCAAAAAGAATTCCAAGTGTGCACCTGAAGATTTAATCAATGACCTAGGACCTAGGTTAGAGTATCGGCAGAAGAGAAACAGAGAAGGGCAGTTATTAAAAGAAACATCAGTTTCACAAATGTAAGGAAATGCAAACAAAGAGAAAACAAGCATCAAAAACCAAATCAAACCCATTGCTGTTGAGTCGATACCAACTCATAGAGACCCTACAGGACAGAGTAGAAACGGCCTCATAGGGTTTCCAAGGAGTGGCTGGTGGATTCAAACTGCCGACCTTTTGGTTAACAGCTGAGCTCTTAATTACTGAGCCACCAGGCTCTGAAAACAAGCACGAAGGATACTAAGTAATTTTAAAAAATATATGTTTAAAGAAGAGTATGTGAATGGATTAAATTCTTAAAAAAAACAAAATCCTGTTATGTTATTAAAAATAAGACAAAAAATGACAAAGATCTTAACGTATTTTTCCTAATAACTTATCAGAATATTATCTTACAGAGCAAATAATTTTGTAAAATGTTATTTAAAAATTTCACAATTTAAAAAATTAACCATATTATACCTGGACTTCAGGGGATGTTCCATCTTGTGCCAGAGCCAATAAAATGCTGACACTCGTCTTCAGGTGTTGTCCTGAGCCTATCCCACCAACATAACGATGCAAACAACCAAGAGCCAATGAATGACCAGTTCTAGATACAACATCTCGAGCTGATTTCAACCTGAAAAAAAGTTTATGCTTCAGGGATTTATTCTAGAAATCAGGAAAGTTTCTAATCACAATTACTTCTTTCCACCCAATCTCCACTTCCTAACAAGAGAAAAGATTCAATTTAAAATGGCTGGTTGAAATCATACATTTTACTGAATAAAGCCTACTTTGATTTTAGAGAAAACTTAGAAGTGGAAACATAACTTTCTAGTTTTTAATATTATTTATTCCTTGAAAATTCAAAAGCTACTTAAAAGTTATTATTACAATTTCAAAATAAACGTAACAAGCTTTTACCACTGGTTTTGAAAATACAAAAAATGTGATTTGTATTCACATAATTAAAATAAAGAACAACAGACTAAAAAATTACCTTTAAAATATTTTAAACTTTCACTTAAGAAATTCCTTAAATTTATGATTTGAATCTCTTTAAAACGGGTCATTCCTTTTTCTTTATGAACTACATATATACTTTTCTACCGTTTATTTTGTTGCTGTTGAGAATATACACAGTAAAACATATACCAATTCAAGTTTCTACATGTACGATTACATGATACTGATTACATTTTGCGAGTTGTGCAACCACTTTGACCCTCCTTTTCTAAGCTGTCCCTCCCTCATTAACATGAACTCACTATCCCCTAAGATTCCTATGTAATCTTTCGAGTTGATGTTGTCAATTTGGTCTCATATAGATAGTTCTTAAAAGAGCATAACGCTCAATGCAGGACTTTTTTTTTACTAGTTAAGCTAAACTATTGTTCAGTTTTAAGACAACTTAAGGGGATATTTTTGGTTTAAAGATTATCTCAGGGCAGTAGTTTCAGGGGTTCATCCACTCTCTATGGCTCCAGAAAGCCTAGAGCCAATAAGAATTTTACATTCTGTTCTGCACTTTCCCCCTTTTGATCAGGATCCTTCTATGGACTCTTTGATCAAAATGTTCAGTAATGGCAGTTGGGCACCATCCAGTTCTTCTGGTCTCATGGCAAAGGAGGCAGTTGTTCACAGAGGCAATTAACCACATATTCCATCTCCTCCTCCTATTCCTGACTCTCCTTCCTGTGCTGCTCCAGGTGAACAGAGACCTACTGTTGTGCCTTGGATGGCCGCTTGCAAGCTTTTAAGACCCCAGGTACTACGCAACAAATTAAGAGGTAGAACAGAAGCACTAAACACGTTATTAAGTCAATTACTGGGATGACCCTAATCCTCCAAACCAAGGAATCAAATCCCATGAGGTGTTTGGCTGTATGTAAGCAGCCTCAGCAGCTATTCTTTTTTTTTTTTTTAATCGTTGCTGTAAAAATAATGTCACACAACTTCTCCAAATTCAACTTTTTACAGGTGTACAACTTATTGACAGCAATTACAATGATCAGCTGTGCAATTCTACCCGTAATCAATGTGATTTTTCCATCACCATTAACCCTCCCTTTTCCCCCATCCTCCTTCCCCTGGTAACCACTAATAAACTTTGGTCTCTATATATTTACCTTTGTCTTTTTATGTAAGTGAGGTCATACAATATTTGTCCTTTTGTGACTGGCTTATTTTGCTCAGCATAATGTCTTCAAGCTCCATCCATATTACAGCATATATCAAGGCTTTACCTTCTCCTACAGGTTGAGCAGTATTCCATCGTTTATGTATGTACCACATTTTGTTTATCCATTTATCTGCTGATGGACATTTAGGTTGTTTCCACCTTTTGACTATTTTGAATACTGCTGCAATGAACATTGGTGTACAAGTCTTTCTGAGTTTCTGCTTTCTAGTCTTTTGGGTATATATCTAAGAGTGGAATTGTTCTGGACCCCTGGTGGTGCAGTGAAGCATTTGGCTACTAACCAAAAGGTTGGCAGTTCAAATCCACCAGCCGCTCCTTGGAAACCCTATGGGGCAGTTCTACTCTGTCATATAGGGTCGCTATGAGTTGGAATCGACTTGATGGCAATGGGTTTGATTTAGTTTATGGTAGTTCTATTTTTAGTTTTCTGAGGAACCGCCACATTGTTTTCCACAACTGCTGTAACATTTTGCATTTCCACCAGAAATGGTTAAGGCTTCCAACTTCCCCACATCCTCACCAACATTTGTTATTTATTTATTTTTTAAATTTTAGCCATCTGAAGTAAAATGGTATCTCACTGTGGTTTTGATTTGCATCTCTCTGACGGCTAATGAATGATGCTGAGTATCTTTTCATGTGTTTGGTGGCCATATGAATGTCCTCTTTGGTGAAATGTCTATTCTTTTGCCCATTTTATGATTGGGTTATTTGTCTTTTTTGTTGTTACGCTAAGTTTTATATGTATTTTGGTTATTAGATTCCTGTCGGAATAGCTTCTGAAGATATTCTCCCAGTTGGTAACTTGTGTTTCCACTTTTTGTTTATTTTTTGGTAGTCTTTCAATGAACAGATGTTTTACATTTGTATTTTGTTTTTTGCTATTTGTGTTTTTGTTACTATATTAGATAATCCATTGTTAAAAGCTAGGCCTGACAGTGTTGCCCCTGCTTGTTCTTCTAAGAATTTTATGGTTTTAATTTGCACATTTAAGTCCTTAATCCATTTTGAATTTGTTTTTGCATATGGTGTGAGGCATGGATTCTGTTTCATTTTTCTGCATGTGGAAATTTGATTTTCCCAGCACCATTTTTAAATTTTATTTTTCTTATTGTTGTGCTTTAAGAGAAAGTTTACAATTCAACTTAGTCTTTCATACAAAAATTTCTACATACATTGTTTTGTGACCCTACTTGCTCTCCCTGTACTATGACAGCACACTCTTCCTTTCCACCCCAGATATCCCATGTCCATTCAACCAGCTCCTGACCCTCTATGCCTTCTCATCTCGCCTCCGGACAGGAGCTACCCATTTAGTCTCATGTAACTACTTGAGCTAAGAAGCACACTCTTCACGAGTATCATTTTAAGTCCCACAGTCATCAAAGTTAGAAAAATTTTGGCCATTATTTCTTCAAATGTTTTCTCTAACCTATCTTTGTTTCTGAGATTTCACTTACATGCGTGTTACACAGTTCGATATTATCCCAGAAGTCACTGAGACTGTGCTCATTTTTTTTTCAGTCTTTTTTCTCTCTGTAATTCATTTTAGATAGTTTATACTGGTGATGTCTTCAACATCACTATTTTTTCTTCTGCAATGTCTAACATTCTGTAAATCCTATCCAGCATATTTTTCATTTCACATACTGTATTTTACATCTGTAGAAGTTTCCTTTGGGTTATTTTTATGAATTCTATTTCTCTCCCCATCATGCGCAGGTTTTCCTGTACTTTCTTAAACATAAAGAGTATATTTATAATAGCTTTTTTAAACATCCTCATCTGTTAATTCTATTACCTCTTTCATTTTTGGGGCCTATTTCTATTGATCAATGGTTTCTCCTGGTAAGGTTCTTATTCTCCTGTTTCTTTGCATGTATGGGAACTTTGGATTGGATACTGATACTGTAAATTTTATGATGTTGGTTGTGTCATTTATGGTATTCCTTTAAATACTGTTGGGCTTTGTTCTAAGATGTCATTAAGTTACTCAGAATCAGTTTTGATCCTTTCAAGGACTGCTTTTAAGCTTAATATGATGGGGATATTGCCCCTCCTACAAAGGCAATATCCTTCTAAAGACTTCTCCTGATGCCCCACAGACTGTATTTTTATACAAATAATGTGTACCTTCTATGTTTGTTTGCCAACTGTGCCCTCCTCCCTGAGGCATTTTTTAAAGTGTTGCTATGCCAATTTTTTTTTACATGTTGCTGTGAAAATTAGCATAGTGCACTTACAGAAATACCTTGCAGGGGGGAGGGCATGGCTGGCAAACAAACGTAGGTGCGTGTTATTTGTGTAAAAATACAGTATAGAAGACCCTTTTATTTTTGGATGGTGGGAAAATGAACTATTCTCAGCTCTATGTAACCGTTGGAGATTGTTCCACCCTTTCCTTTCTGGTGGTTCTTTCCCTGGTGTTAGGCAGGCTCTTTGCACTCATGCACGTATCAGTACTTGGCCAAAACTTCAGGTGACCCTTCTGCTCATAGCTCTCTTCCTGTGCAGCTCTCTCCTCTCTAGTATTCTACCCCACAAATTCTAGCTTCTTTGGCCTTCTGAAACATCAAATTCTGTCTTCAAATTAGTCATGCTTGGGTTTCCCATCCCTGTGCTTTAGCCTGGAAACTCTCTCCCAGCAGTAATCTGGAGCAGTTGCAGGGTTCACCTTGCTTGTTTCCCATTTCTCTGGAATCATTCCTGTGTTGTGTGTTGTCTAACGTCTAAAAACCATTATTTCATTTATTTTATCTGGTTTTCCAGTTGTTTAAGACAGGCGAGTAAATCTGATTGCTGTTACTTCACGTGACTGGCAGCAAAAAGTCCTGCGTATTTTTTAATGTTTATTTAAAATAATGAGTTTCATTATTTTATTCACACTGAACTAGGAATGTAAAGATTTTAAATGGATCACAGTTCTAAACCTCACTTTGTACAACCTGAAGGATCAAATAAAGAACATATATAACTTTTTAAGTCAAAAAATACAATGACTAATAATCATGCACTAATATAGTAACCATTGGAAGAGAGGATAAAATGGCACTAAAAAAGCACTTGAAATAACAAAAGCACCTAGAGAGCAACTTTGGTTCCATTTTTCAAAACTCTATTATAACACTCGATAAGCCATCCAGGACGAGACTTTTGGCAACCTCACACAAGTAAAACAAAGTTAAGAGACCAAAATGACCAAAAATCAATCCCAAGACTCTAGGTGGTCAGCTTACCTGCTGGAAAAAAGGAAAATTCAAAATGCTGTCACAGAACAGATATGAAGAAATGTAGCAATGAATGAAGTGAACTAAGTTTATCCTGAGCAGTATTTCAACGTGCTATATGCTTGGATAAGTGATCTTTACCTCTCTAAGTCTTAGTTTCTCTGGCTATAAAATGGACATTATCGTTATACGTACGGTCACTTTGAGGAGTGAAAGAAGTTAACAACGAATGCAATCTATAAATGCATAATACAGATTTAAAAACTATCTCCATGTTGTTACTTCTCAAAAGATAACATTTTAGTGGACTAAAACCAATGCCAGTTTTCTCAGTGACAATCTTCTGTTCAAAAAAGTAAATAATGCGTAAGAACATACATTTCTTTCAAGTCTCAAAGTGCTTTTCAATTTACATAGAAACAAATTCAGCCAGCAAAGAACTTTATTTTCTCCTAAACTGGGTCTTAAGAAATTGAAGCTACTCCCCACTAACTTATAATGGGCTACAGGAATAATTCCAGGAGTATTTCTGTCTCAATGCTAAGATGATATAAAATTTTAATTAGCAAACACAGTTAACCAATCTGTATATTTAGGCGATTTTGGCTTTACACAGTCACACATTATATTAGCAACAGATAATGTTGATGTAAACAGTCTGAAATAATAAGGTTGCAGGAGATAGAAGCTTTTTATGAATACTAACAGATTCCATCGACTCTAAGATACCACAGATTTAAAAATGTATCATTATTTTATACAGCAGTATAAAAAATGCTGCCAAATATGACATTTGTAGAGAATAAGACACAAGCCAATTTCAGACGGATTAAAATGTGAAAAAAGGGTAACTAAAAATCTATGTAATGATTAATTTCACATCACAATCAATTATCTGAAAAAGCTAATGAAAATGAGCTGACAATACTTACAAACCATTAATCAGACAAATATAAATGAGGGAAATGCCTGTGTGTTTCACCAGAATACTCTTACAAGTATTAAAAATTAATTAAATCCCTTATAACAAAAAAAATTTATCATTTAAGAGCTTTCCAAAGAAACACACACCTATTTTATCTATTATTGAGAGTATAAACCACCAAACAGACAGCAGAGATTAGCTCTTCTGTCAAAATCTTAGCAAAAGGTGATTTTCAGAATCAATGGCAAATACTGGAAAGAACAAAGCTAATGTAGCACTAGAGGACTGCAGAAGTCACTCTGCAAAAGGTTAAGTGTTTGGGATAGTTTCAACTATCTTCTGCCTGCTCAGAATATCTTCAGTGATTTAAACAATACACTGGGGTATTATCCTATAAGCAGCCAAATTGTCTTTCACATGTGAAGACAAAGAAAGTCATCCTTATCTATGCAAGAATTCATAAAATACTTTTTCTTCAGAACTACTATTCTGTAACTGCTGTTTCCTACTTTCTCTCATAAATGATTATGCAATAGTTTGGTATAATTAATATCCAAAATATAATTAATTATATAACTATCATATACTATAGTTAAGAATGATAATTTCCATAATTCAAGTGTCAGTTCTTGACCACTTTTGGTTTTTAATTTCTCTACTTAAGTAGTTAATTAAGAATGGATAGTCACTAATAACTATCTTATCAGTTCCATCATACTTACTGATAGCAGTTAGAAAAAGAGTGGCTTGTTCCAAAAAGTGAATAAATATCAGAAAGAAGAATTGGTGGAGGGAGGGGGTAGAGAGAAGAGAAAAAGTATGCTGGGGAAACTTGCTGGACAACTCCAGAGCACCTCTTGAAAATGCATAACTGGTAGAAGTCCTTGTTAACATTCTTTTCAATTCCATCATGTAACACTGAACAGCTGAATCAGAAACTTTCCCCACACTACAAGTTTCTGACATGACAACTTTCTCAGATACCTGAATGTAATTATTTATTTAATTAAAATTTGAGATCATTATGAAAAAACACAAAATACGATCACTTATGATTCAGTTAGTAATTACTGATTATTTAAAAGCCATCATTGCCTATATGAGAAACTTACTTATTGATAAAGAGATCCACTTACTTGTCAAAGCTATATTGTGCCATTCTAGCAATAAAAGTTGCTTCTCCAACCACCTGAGCCATTCTTCCAAGAGCTTCCCCTGCCGCACACCGTAAGATGGGGTTTGGATTGTCAAGAGCACCCATAACCAGTGTCAGAGCAGATTTACGAACCTCCTCGGGTCCTAGAGTACTTTTGTTTTCAGCTAAGCCCTACATTTATTAAAAATAATAATAATAATAATGACAATTTACAACTCACATTACATAAAAGAAAAATGTGCTGCAATCTTCATAAATACATATCTTGACATATTATTTTCTTTAGCCAACCTTCAACTGCATTTTCTAGGCCTAGAATCTAGGCCTGTTAAATTGACAAGAGTCATTTTCCTAAACATGATTTCAGAACATGATATATGATATAATCACAGTCCAATTGGCCAAAAAGTCAACAGTTCCTGGGAGTGTCTCAATCCAAAGAATAATACTTAAAAGGTGGTTTTCTCTATACTTTTTTCTTAAAACAGTATTAAGGCTTTATTTCTATAACCAATGCCTATAGCTCTTTTCCCTGATGTTTATCAAACATGACTTCACATATACTCATTTAAACAACTGTACTTGCTACCATTTTATTTTAAAACAATAATACTTTATAATAATCTAGTGCTGAATAATATAAAAAGTTTTCAAATACATCATGAGAAGGTACATAGTCGAGTGCATGAACTCTGTGAGATAGGTGAAATATTATTCCACTTCATACATGTGGAAACTGAGGCTGAAAAAAACCTTGAAGGAATCATACTAGACAAAAACCCAGTGAATAGCTAAGCCAGAAGACAATCTCTAAATACAGTATTCTTTCAACTATATAGCATAGCCTCTCATGACTTATGGTCTTAGCCATAAATCAAACTTAAGCTTTATCTAATTAACCTTCAGTAGCATATCAGATTTGATTAGTCAGGCATCTTTGAAAATTCTGAAAGAACTGACTGGTACTTGTAAAATCTAAGGGGTCACACTGAAACATGAACTTTAACATTACTATAATATAAAATACATATTTAATTATAATGCATCCAATGTACAGTTTCTAGTAATTTAAACTAATATAAAAACATAGTTATAAAGTGATATACATGTAAACATTAGCACAGACTACATAGGCCTGATTTATTAAATCGATTAATTAAAATCTTATTATAGAGTATTTACTATGTAAATATACCTTCAGTGCACTAAGAACAGCAGTAAATATGTTAAGCTGCACAGCCTGCTGGCGGACACCTTTGGCTTGCTTAACACATTCAGCAAAGTGATCCAACATTTGCAATCTACAATCATAGAATAAAGATCACATTAACTATACTTTCTCTTCAAACGTGGCTCAAAAATCAAAGACAACAAGAGTACAAGCTAACTGTTTAGCAAATAATGCTAAACAAAAAAGGGCCACATAAACCAGAGACTTCATCAGCCTGAGACCAAAAGAACTAGATGGTGCCCGGCTACCACCAATGACTGCCCTGACAGGGAACACAACAGAGAGTGCCTGACGGAGCAGGAGAAAAGTGGGGTGCAGAACTCAAATTCTAGTAAAAAGACCAGACTTAGTGGTTTGACTAAGACTGGAGAGACCCCAGAAGACATGGCCCCCAGACTCTCTGTTAGCCCAAAACTAAAACCATTCCCGAGGCCAACTCTTCAGACAAAGATTAGACTGGACTATGGGACATAAAATGATACTCGTGAAGAGTGTGCCTCTTAGCTCAAGTAGATACATGAGACTAAATGGGCAGCTCCTGTCCAGAGGTGAGATGAGAAGGCAGAGACGATCAGGAGCTGCCATTGAATGGACGTAGGAAAGAGGAGTGTGCTGTCACAGTACAGGGAGAGCATCTAGGGTCACATAACAATGTATGTAGAAATTTTTGTATAAGAGACTAACTTGAATTGTAAACTTTCACTTAAAGCACAAATTAAAAAAAAAAAAACTTTTAACAACAACGATAAAAAAGTTATGTATTTCATCTTGGGTATAGGCAAATGCATCTGTGTGAAAGATTTTTAAGTTGGGAATAAAAAATGCTGCATTTTTTTCTTCTTTTTCTAATACTCCACATAGAATAAAATAGTAACTCATGTCCTATCCTTGGAAATAGTTTTTTTTAAAAATTTAGCTTTGATCATTTTTCTAAATGTAAAAACCCAGAAGTAAAGGGGTTTCATATTACCTTAAATTTAAAAAAATGAGACGTTACCAAAAAAAAAAGTCATGGCTCTTTTAGACTATTCTGATAAAAGAGAGTGAGCTCATTTCATATTATTCTAAAAAGAAATGAAGTGGAACAAAGGGATCCAGGGAAGCTGGATTTAGTAGTAAGATAACTAGGATCTCAACTAGGAAACTAAAATCTCTTTAAGGTCATTATAAGGTTTAAACTCCATTGATAACAGGCCATAGGTTTCAGGTCAAATCATTCTTCAAAAATCAGCCAGGAAGAAATAATCTAAACCCCAGCATGAACTCCAGCTAGAGTTACTTGCGGCTGAAGCTGACTACTTTTACAGTTCTTCTAATATAGATCCACTCTTCCTTGGGTAAGAGAACAGGGCATTATTTATACTACTAAAGCAAGCACACACAGAACACAGATATGCTCTCCAAGACTACCATAACCATAATTTGCCTATATCCAAGCTGAAGTACCTAACTTTAAAAAAAAGTTGACTTAAAAAAAATTTCGTTTCCTGATTTTAAAATATTTATTGCAATGAATTTGAAAAATATTGATAAAAAGTTACTACCCAGAAATAACCACTGTTATCCTCTAATACATTTTCTTTCAGGTTTTTATCTTATGTGTACAAATATAATGCGGGATGAATTGAACGCCAGGTTAAGGCGCCTTATGCTGACACTCACCAGCCCCCAGAAAAGATGTTGGTTGATACAGACAGTGGCCACAGAAGTTGGAATCTGCTAAGGAGTGTGTAATAACTAACCTGCCCCATCAACTAGCCTTGAAAATGGATGGTGCTGGAGTGTTGGGCCCGTATCTGGTCGTCGTTTGAACCATCTAATAGCTTTGGTTCCCTCCAAGTTTCCCTCAGGACAGCTGGTGTTCTCGCACTATTGAACCCATGCAGTTTTATTCGCTAAAGCAAATGATTAGAGGTCTTGGGGACGAAACTATCTTAACCTGTTCTCAAACTTTAAATGGGTAAGAAGCACAGCTCGCTGGCATGCAGCCGGGCATAGAATGCAAGTGCATAGTGGGCCACTTTTGGTAAGCAGAACTGTATACACAAGTACATTTTTATGTGCTTTAAAACACCAAATTAGGAGGACTTCTTGCCTTTGATTTTCCTTTTTACATTTTTGTATCGTGAGTATTTTCTTATACCAAAACATAGTTTCTACGAACAAATATTCCAGACTACAGACTTCCCACAATTTATCCATTCATTCTTCCATCATTAGAATATTCATTATATTTTTAAAGGAATTTATTTATTTATACTTCACCTTGTTCTACAAAAGTGGTTTAGTAGAGTTAAAACAATCCCGAAATCTAGTTATAGCTCTGCCATTAACTAGCTATGCAATGTTGGACAAACCACAAACTCTTACACCTGTATTTCCTTAGATTTAAAAATAAGAACGTTAAAGTAGATGCTTTATGATTCTTTTATCTTTAATGCTCTTCAATGTTTACGCAGCAACCAGATATTCATAAAGGTATCTGGGTAAAGTGAAATTTCATATTTAAACTTTTCCCCCCTCAATTATAAAGCAATTAGTCAACTACTCTACAAGTTTACAGATATGTTAATGTTTTTAAAGCATATTTTGCAAAACTTTTGAGTCATCTGTGAAAGTCTTGCATTAATACTACTCTTTGGGAAAATCACCATAAATTTAACAAAAAGCCTTGTAAAGTTAGGGCTAGTCTCTGTGGGCACAGAAAACAGCAAACTAAAATGCTCGCATTAGGAAAAAAGTCAGTACCTTACTTTCCCAAGTTCCAGACTTAGGCTATCTTAGACAAATACTATCAGGGAGTTTTTATTTCGCTACTACTGTTTTAGTAGTAATTCACTTTATTGCAGAGTTAACTTAGATAGGAAAATCTACTGTTTGAATATAACTTTATATAACTAAAATTACCTGAGTGACTTTATACTAACCGGTGTTTATAAGAAACATGAGGAAACACTACACCAAAAAGAGCCACGGAGGCATCAATGACTGAGACTCCAAGAGGGAGAGGACCAGGCACGGCCTCCCCAGCAGGTATTCGTAAATAAATGGAGGATGGATCATGCTCTAGAGCCCCACTTCCAGAAGCACTGTTTGGCTGGAGCTGCAAAAGAATGACATAGAAAAGCTTTCAAAATCTAGTTTAGAACTGTAATTCACTTACTAGGTATTAGGCATGAAGAATGGAGCAAAGGAGGAAGGAGAAAAGGCAACAAAAAAACAACAGGCTCTGAACGTTTAAAGACAGGTAAAATATAATTCAGCCATTAAAATAAGAGCCATCAGTAACACCTTCTACAATCTTTAAGATTAAAAAGAATAATTTATATGAAAATAACAATCATTTCCCAAATACTCAACAGGAATAAAACAATTAAATCCTTTGTTCCCCTTTAAAAAATTCTGTGTTAAATATCCGTAATGCTGGTTTTAATGCACAATAATGGTAATTCCTTTTTTATTATTGTATTATGCATTTTAGCCAACACCATCTTTAAGTGTCTAAGAAAGCTAAACGAAAATTAAGCCTTAAATCTATGTTTTCTTATTAAGTGACAATATGTAATAGGACCATTGTTTTAGATTAAGCCAGTATTTCACTTCCCTGTATAGTTTACTACCTGGTCTTCAATTGATTTATGGTCAGTTTCTTGAAGCCAGGAGCCAAGAAGAACACTATCATCATAATGGCAGAGGGATCTGAGGAGGGATGTAGTCGTGTTGGCAGAGTTGTCAGTCAAAGTGAATTCTGCTACCAACTCTCTAAGGAGTGCATTGAAAGATCCTAAAAAGAAGAGCTTCTGATTAGGTTAAAAAGAATAATTCATATGAAATGACAATCATTTCCCAAATGATCAACAGGAATAAATCCTTTGTTCCCTTCAAAAAAAATTCTATATTAGAATATCTGTAATGCTGGTTTTAAAGCACAATAATGCTAATTCCTTTTTATTATTGTATTATGCATTTTAGCCCTAATAATTTAAAGAAACAAAAACTCAAATAGTAGCAGGAAAGATTCTTTATTTTAAATGCAGTAAATGTGACATTAGTATTATTAATTGCCCAATGATGTGCAAACACTGAACCAGAGCATACCAAAATTCTTGGGCATGGTTGTACTGGAGACAAATCAATGGTTTATTATAATTTTAACATTTTATATAATATTTGATTTATGCAAAACACATCACTATTCCCCCTCCAGATTCCTATATTATTGATTATAATATACATAAAGCTGATCAGGATAAGAATTATAAACAGACTGTGAAGATGAACCAGCTGGGTTGGAATCCAAGCTCTGATGCCTACTAGTTGTTTGGCTTGGGCAAGCTACTTTTCCTGTCTGAAGCCAAGATCCTTCATCTATGTACCATAATTTTATGCAAATAACATGCACTTTCTATGTTTTTTGCCAACCGCACCCTTCCCCCATGCTATGCAAATTTTTTTTTACAGCAACATGTAAAAAAAAATTCGCATAGCAGCACTTACGAAAATATCTCGTGGAGGTAAGGCACGGTTGGCAAACAAACATAGAAGGTGCGTGTTATTTGCACAAAAATACATTAATAGGAAAAACTGTCTCATAGGATTATGCTTAGAGTCAAAGGAACTAACACACCTAAAGGGCTTAGGACGGTGCCTGGAACAGACTAAGTGCTCCATAAGTGTTAGTTACTACACAAGAAAAAGTAAAATGGTTGCTTTCCTTTTGTGTAGTAAGTCAATCAGTGAAAGCTCCTTGATCAGAACTCTGTAATACTGGGGAGAACTGGAAAGGCATAATAAAGAATATTTATCAGATACTGAAAATTTTATTTACCTTCGTAAGTTTTTGGAGGTAACAAAGCCAAGATATCATAAAGTCTTAAACGGACCATTGCAGCACTGGCTTTCAAATGAGCTCCATGGGCTTTAATTACAGATGGAATACTAAAATATCAAAAGTATAGTTGGTATCAGTTTATTAGAATAAGTATTATTGACAAACATTTCTTCAGCAACATACCAACCTACTGTTAGAGTATGTTGATAGGTATTACATTTTCATTTTAATTTACGTTATGACCTTTACTATTAGTAACACAAACACTTTAAAATATAATTGTATGTATATATATATAGGAGACCTGGTGGCATTGTGGTTAAGAGCTCGGCTGCTAATCAAAAGGTCGACAGTTAGATTCTACCAGCTGCTCCTTGGAAACTGTGGGGCAGCTCCACTCTGTCCTATAGGGTTGATATGAGTTGGAATCGAATTGACGGCAACGGGTTTGGCAGAGCACAGTGGTTAAGAGCTTGGCTGCTAACCAAAAAGGTAAGCAGTTCAAATCCACCAGTCATTCCTTGGAAACTCTATGGGGCAGTTCTACTCTGTCCTATAGGGTCACTATGAGTTGGAATCAACTTGACGGCAATGGGTTTATATATATAGCTAACTGATTTTCAACAAGAATGCAAAGACCATTCAATGAGGAAAGAACAGTCTTTTCTACAAATGGTTCAGGGATAACTGGATAGCCACGTGCAAAAAAAATAAAGTTGGGCCCTTCCCTCACACCATATATAAAAATTAACTTAAAATGAATCAAAAACCTAAATGTAACAGGTATAACTATAAAACTCTTAGAACTAAGAAAAACCTGCTACCAAAGCCACTGCCATTGAGTCGATTCAAACTCCTAGCAACCCTAGAGGACAGAACTGCCCCATAGAGTTTCCAAGGCTGTAAATCTTTATGGAAGCAGACTGGAGCGGCTGGTGGGTTTGAACCACCGACCTTTTGGTTTGCAGCCAAGTGCTTTAACCACTGCAACACGAGGGCTCCTCAGAACTAAGGAAACACAGGGTAAATCTTCATGACCTTTGGCAAAGGATTCTTAGCTATGTCACCAAAAGTGCAAGCTTCAAAAGAAAAAAACAGACAAACTGGACTTCATCAAAACTGAAAAAATTCTGTGCTTCAAAGGGCACCATCAAGAAAGTGAAAAGACAAGGAAAGTATTAGCCCAAGAGACAGAAAGGGCCACATAAACCACAGACTTCATCAGCCTGAGACCAGAAAAACTAGATGGTGCCCAGCTACCACCAATGACAGCCCTGACAGGGAACATAACAGAGAGTCCCAGATGGAGCAGGAGAAAGGTGGGGTGCAGAACTCAAATTCTAGTAAGAAGACCAGACTTAATGGTCTGACTGAGACTGGAGAAACCCCGGAAAGCATGGCCCCTGGATTCTCTATCAGCCCAGAACTAAAACAATTTCCAAGGCCAACTCTTCAGACAGGGATCGGACTGGACTGTGGGACATGAAGTGATACTCGTGAGGAGTGTGCCTCTTAGCTCAAATAGATATGAGAGACTAAACAGGCAGCTTCTGTTGAGAGGTGAGATGGGAAGGCAGAGAGGGTTAGGAGCTGACTGAATGGACATGGGGAATCAGGGGTGGAAAGGAGGAGTGTGCTGCAACAGTATGGGGAGAGCAATAACAGTCTCATAACAATGTATGTATAAATTTTTGTATGGGATAAAATGAAAACAAAAGAAAGTGGAAAGAGAACAAACAGAATGGGAGAAAATATTTGCAAATCATACATCTGAGAAGGGATTTATATCTAAAACTTATAAAGAACTCTTACAACTCAATAATAAAGACATATAACTCAAATAATGGGAAAAGGATCTAAATAGACATTTCTCAAAAGAAGATATAAAAATAGCCAATAAGCACATGAAAAGATGAAGACATTATTCATCATCACAGAAATGCAAATTAAAACCACAATGAGATACCACTTCACACCAACTAGGATAGTTAGAATCAGAAAATCATACAACAACAAGTGTTGGTGAAGATGTGGAGAAATCGGAATCCTCATACATTGCTAGTGAGAATGTAAAATGGTGCAGACACCTTGAAAAACAGTCTGGCAGTTCCCCAAACAGTTTAAACACAGAGTTACCCTATGACCCAGCAAGTGTACTCCAGAATATACTCAAGAGAAATAAAAACATGTCCATGTAAAACTTTGTACCTGAATGCTGTAGCAGCATGATTTATAATAGTCAAAAGATGGAAATAACCCAAGTGTCCATCAACAGAAGAACGGGTAAACAAAACGTGGCATAACCATACAACGAAATATTATTTCACCATAAAAAAAAATGAAGTACTGACACATGCTCGACATGGATGAACTGTGGAAACAATACTAAATGAAAGAAACCCAACCCAAACCCACTGCCCTCGAGTCAATTCTGACTCATAGCGAACCTACAGGACAGAGTAGAACCGCCCCATAGGGTTTCCAAGGCTGTAATCTTTACAAAAACAGACTGCCACATCTTTCTCCTATGGAGCTGCTGATGGCTTCAAACCCTCCACCTTTTGGTTAGAAGCCAAGCACATTAACCACTGTACTACCAGGGCTCCTTTAAGTGAAAGAAGCCAGTCACAAAAATACATTTATTACATAATTTCACTTTTATAAGAAAGTCTAGAATACGGAAATCTATCAGGAAAGAAAACAGATTAGATGTTGCTTAGGGCTGAGAGAAGCGGTTTAATGGGGCATAGAGGAATTAAAGCTAAAGGGTACAAGGTTTGTTTTTGAGGTGATGAAAATGTTCTAAAATTGACTGTAGGAATGGTTGCACATATTTGTGATATACTAAAAATGACTGAATTGTACATTTGAAATGGGTGAATTGTATGGTATGTGAATTATATCTCAATAAAGCTTTTAAAAAAGACAAAAGAACTGTATTTCAACCCACACTGTTACTGCAATTTTTTAAGTCACTTTACAAAAATAAAGTTTCAAAAGTCTCCTATATGCATACTGGAGAGAAGAACAAAACATGATTGATAATTATACATAAAACAGGATGTTAACTCGTCATAACTGCTTACTTACTGCGACATCATAGTCATGGCACATTCAATAGGGGTCATCAGCTTTCTAATCACATCTTCAGTTAGGAGCTCAGGACAATGAGCAACAAAACTCCTCATTGCTAGATAAAATTTTTAGAAAGGACAGATTTGGAGCAGCTTTAGTGAGGATGAATAAATTTATGAAACTGTATAAAGATAAAAGCACTTATAGTTTTCAATTATTATAACATATAAGACTCTGAAACCCAATCAAGCCAAAAGAAGAACGAATTACAACTATAGAGAAAAATAATTACAAAAGGCTAGAAGAAAGGTGGACAGCAGAAATGCAGGGAAGGAAATATTTGTTAGAGAGACTTGTTTTGAGTAGGAATTCAGAGCACATTTAAGCACAAATGAATTCAAATGACTGCAAAAAAAGTCATTTCAAGACAGAACCAAGAGTGGACAAAATGGTCCAGTGAAAAGATCTCTTTGCTGGCTCTTTAACAACACAGCTAAGACTAAAATACCTATCAGATGTGTGGAGTGAAACTGCCATCTTGCCCTGTCACCCTTAGAAGCAAGGGCCCATCTCTCCACCTCCGCTTGGAAAAAGGAGCCCTTTGCATCCTGAGATAAACCAAAAATTAACAGGGTCACTCTGTGTAATTCTAGCTCCCAAGAGAAACAGAACTTGACCTTTTCTGTAAGTTGCTGACTCCCTAACAAAAACAACTTTATCCGTAATTTTTATAACGTTGATGTGTGAAAAATATTTCAACTTTTGCAGATTTGATAATGATGTAAGAGCTCTTTTTTCACTGTGAAAAGACTAACCGTAAACTCAGTAAACCTGGTATTCCTGAGTATAATTTTTCTTTAAATATCTGTTAGTTTTTTTTTTTTAAATTGTGACCTAGTGTGTCTTTGACAGGTGGAAGACTGCAATAAGTAGGAATTAAGATGCTAGGTTCTAGTTCCCACCCTACCACCAACTCTAATCCACTTCTCAGAATCTCAGCTTCTAGTTTATGACAAAATTAGCCAACTGGATTAGAATACTTATGACGTTTCTTCCCAAATCTCAAAGTCTATTTATCATTACATATTAAAAAAAAAAAAAAAGGAGCCCTGGTGGTGCAACAGTTAATCGCTTGACGGTTAACTGAAAGCCTGGCAGTTCAAACCCACCTAGCAGCTCCATGGGAGAACGACCTGGAGATCTGCTCCCTTAAAGATTACAGCCTAGAAAACTTCATGGGGCAGATCTACGCAGTCACATGAGGCTGCTGTAAGTTGAAAATCGACTTGAAGTCAGTCACCCAACAACATTAGAATAAAAATTTGAAGTAGTAATTTTCCTTCACCTCATAAATATTTTAGTAGTATAATAATATTCTGAAAGTGCAATCCTTTCAGTTCTTACCACATAAAGCTCCAGCACGACCTTCCAATGTTACCTGCCAGGTAAAAGAGTCTCCTCTGGCCTTCTCAGCCTCCAGTTCCTTTAAAGAACGAGGGAAAACATTTCGCCACAATAACAACATCTTGGGCAGATGGTAACGAACGACAGACGGCCCTAACCAAGAAAAGGAGAATACAAAACTACAGATGTAAAATGCACATTACAAACCAAAGTCAAAGAAAATGAGACCTCTACACACTTTATCTGTCATTTCACTCTGTCTTTATCACTAAAATTATTTCCAAAATGTTTTTTATATAGTAAGTAAAATATATATCTATTGAAGCATAATAAAATTAACTTTAAAATGTATCAATATTTTTAGCACCCAAAAAAGCAGCACCCACAGTGCCGTTTAAATGTGACTATCACCCTACTAAAATCACATCACTTGTTTTCACTTTGGGGATGAAACTTGCCCCCCCATACTCTCATCTCTTTTGAGTAACACTAAACTAAATCAGGTAGATGACGCAGGGCCGGGCAATGTTACGTTGCCATACGTATGGTCGCTATGAGTCGGAACCGACTTGACAGCACCTAACAACAACAATCAGGTGTATGGCTATTCTGATGGTAAAGGTGACACTTTGCCATCAACTTTTTCGTTAAAGGTCCTTAAGCAAAAGTTACCAAAAGAGAAAATTACTATCAAATGATGGAAAAAAAATTTATCATTTTACAACTTAATTCAATGTTTAGAATGTGAAATAATTTTTAAATTGAATTTGCCTTATAATCTAATGACAGTTATACAGTGTAAAAAAATCTAGCTCAAATACAATTATACCTAAAGTCATAAGTGCTCCAAGCAAAAGCCATCCAGCTTGGGTGCGCTGTAAAGACAGCCTGCTATTTTGTGCTGCAGTTCGTAAGAGATCTTCAGCAATACTCACGACCATCTGCAAGAGAAATTTAGAACTGGATTTTGATTTAAATAAGTCAAATAAGAAAACAGATAACTAGCACGCTTTATTAAAAAAAGAAGTTGTCCTTTTTTTTAAAAACATGGTTAAAAGAGACAACATCAAGAAGTGTTTGGGAACCAACAGACCTATTCAGTCCTAATCACACTGATGACTGAGAATCAAACAGCAACACAGCGGTCAAAAGTGAGCTCCAGAGCCAGACTGCTTGGGCTCAGATCTCAGCTCTACCATTTACTAGCTTTACTGACCTAGGGCAAATTAACCTCTCTGCCTCAGTTCCCTCATTTGTAAAATAAGAATAACGGGAGTGCCTGGCTCATACGATTATCACAAGGGTAACTGAGTTAATACATACAAAGCACTCAGAACAGTACTAGCTCACATAACCACTTAGTAAATATTATTACTGATATTATTATCCTATATTCAAAGATTTCCTGAATTCCTATTATGCATACGTCATTAAGCCGAGTTTCTGGAGCTTAGAGTGTCAGAGAGAAATGACACAGGAAAACGGTCAATAACAGAAAGCAGCACATGATTAAACAACAAATAACAGTACAGATGGAGTAGTGGTCTGCAAAGGGAAAGGCTATCATACACTGAGTGGCTTTGAAGAGATTTCAAGAAAGAGATGGAACTTAAATTTGGCCCCTAAACAAATAGGTAAGTTCTGGGTAGGTAAATAAGAAGGTGGATGAAATTCTAATGTAAGAAATTTGGATGAGCAAAGGCATGGAGGCTGAAAAAGGGAATGGGAAGAAAGCAAGATGACTAGTCTGACTAGAGCAGTGGGAATTCAGCATGAACACGTAGAACAAAGACAGATTATGAAGGTACCAATTTACCAGACAAAGGAGATTACATTTTATTCTCTGAGTACTGGGTAGTCCCTAAGGGTATCTGTGAGCAAATTTGAAATATGAAAGTGATGTGTGTAAGATGGAGGAGAAAACCTCAAGGAGGCAACCGTGTGGCACACGGAGATGGAAGCCTAGATTCCAGCAGTAGCTATGGAAGCCAAAGGAATGAACGGACCTGGACACAGTGTTATAAACATAATGAGAATTTAAAAATCTATCTATGCAAAGTTGCAAATAATATTTATATAAACACTTTTGAGTTCCTGAGAAGAAAACCATTAAAGCAGATTAAGGTATACAATCTTTGTTGGTGTTGTGCGACATCAAGTTGATTCCTACCCACAGTCACCCTACAGGACAGAGTAGAACTGCCCCCTAGTGTTTCCTAGGCTGTGATCTTTACGGGAGCACATCACTAGGTCTTTACTCCCTTGGAGCCACTGGTGGGTTCAAATTGCCGACCTTTCAGTTAGCAGCTGAGCGCTCAACCATTACACCACCAGAGCTCCTTTACACTATCTTTACTTTCATCAATTATGAAAGAATAGGGAAAAAAATTTAACTGATTTACTAAAATCACCCTCAATTTTTAGTGTTTTCAAAATGCTAACTATGACCATTGCCAACAGCATATTCTCCTGACATCTTTTAAACAGCAGTGTATTGTTTTTTTGTTTCATTCTGTTTTTTAGATTTTAAAAAATTTTACTGTGGTAAAACACAAATAACAAAATTTGCCATTTTAACCATTTTTAAGTGTACAATTCAGTGACGTTAATTACATTCAGTGTTATTCAACCATCACCACTATCTATTTCCAAAACTTTTTCACCACCCCAAACAGAAACTCTGTACTCATTAAACAATGACTTCCCGTTCCCCCTACTCCCAGCACCTAGTAACTAATTTACTTTCTGACTTCATGAATTTGTCAAGTTATTTCATATGTTATTGTTGTTAGGTGCCATCAAATTGGTTCCAACTCATAGCGACCCTATGTACAACAGAACAAAACACTGCCCGGTCCTGCACCATCCTCACAATCATTGTTATGCTTGAGCCCACTGTTGCAGCCACTGTGTCAATCCATCTCGCTGAAGGTCTTCCTCTTTTTCACTGACCCTCTACTTTACCAAGTATGATGTCCTTCTCCAGGGACTAATCTCACCTGATAACATCGCATATTTCATATAAGTGGGATCATACAATATCCTTTTATGTCTGTTTTATTTCACATAGCATGTTTTCAAAGTTCATCCACGTTGTAAGCATGTATCAGAACTTCATTCCTTTATATGATTGGATAATATTCCATTGTGTGTATATGCCACATTTTGCTTATAGGGTCAGAATTGATTCCACCGCAATGGGTATTCATCTGATCGACACTTGGGTTGTTTCCACCTTTTGGCTACTGTGAATGATGATGTTATGAATATTGGTGGAGTATCTGAGTCCCTACTTTTAATTCTTTTGGGTATATACCTAGGAATGGAATTGTTGGGTCATATGGTAATTGTTTAACTTTTGAAAAACTGCCAAACTGTTTTCTAAAGCAGGTGCACCATTTTATACTCCCACCAGCAATACACAAAGGTTCCAATTTCTCTGTATCCTCTCCAACACTAATTATTTTCCTTTTTTCGTAATAGCCAACCTAGTGGGTGTGAAGTGGAATGTCACTGTGGTTTTGATTTGCATTTTTCTAAAGGCTAATGATGTTGAACATCTTTTCATATATTTATTGGCCATTTGTATATGTTGTTGCTGTTAGCTACATTCAAGTCGGCCCTAACTCATGGTGACCCTATGCACAACAGAACAAAATGCTGCCCAGTCGTGCACCATCCCCATGACGGTTGTGGATCAAACTGTTGTTATCCATACGATTTTCACTGGCTGATTTTTAGAAGTAGAATGCCAGGCCTTTCCTCCTAGTCGCTCTTAGTCTGGAAGCTGTTCCTGACTGTTCAGCATCATAGCAACATATAAGCCTCCACTGACAAGACAGGCAGTGGCTGCACATGAAGTGCACTGGTCAGATTCAAATCTGGGTCTCTGGCACGGAAGGCAAGAATTCTACTACTAACTACCAACGCCTAACTTGTATATCTTAGCAATGCAAAATTTTAGTCCTAAAAGTTTAGAGAATAACTCTGTCTTAGCCATCTAGTGCTGCTATAACAGAAATAACAAGTGGATGGCTTTAACAAAGAGAAATTTATTTTCTCACAGTCTAGTAGACTAGAAGACCAAATTTAGGGTGTCAGCTCCAGGGGAAGGCTTTCTTTCTCTGTTGGCTCTGGAGGAAGGTCCTTGGTGTCAATCTTCCCCTGGACTAGGAGCTTCTCTGCACAGGAATCCTGTGTTGAAATGATGCACTCTGCTGCCGGCACTGCTTTCTTGGTGGTATGAGTTCCCCAAACTCTCTGCTTGCTTCCCTTCCTTTTATCTCTTGTAAGATAAAAGGTAGTGCAGGCCACACCCCAGGGAAACTCCCTTTACACTGGATCAGGGATGTGACCAAGCAAGGGTGTTACATCCCACCCTAATCCTCTTTAACCCCAGGTGGAGATTATGATTTATAACACATATGAAAATCACAAAATGGAGGACAACTACACAATACTGGGAATCATGGCCTGACCAAGTTGACACATATTTTTGGGAACACAATTCAATCCATGACAAACTCTGACATTTTAATAATTACTATAATGTGTGTTTGGTCTAAAATAAATTTAAAAATGGTACTATACCCAGATACTACGGAGCCTTGGTGGCACAGTGGTTAAGGGCTCAGCTGCTAACCAAAAGGTCGGCAGTTCAAATCTACCAGCTGCTCCTTGGAAACCCTATGGGGCAGTCCTACTCTGTCCCATAGAGTCACTATCAGTCAGAATCGACTCAACGGCAATGGGTTTGGTTTTTTTTTTGGTTTATACCCAGACAAAGCCTATTATTCCTACATCAGAATTAAATATCAAATTTTAATTAGGGTCTGTTAACTCCATATTAGCAGAACACTATGTTTTACATTACCATAGTGAAACTGTTATCATTTGATCATTCAGTTTAACATTAAACACAGCAAATGTTCCAATAAAAACCACAGCTCAGCCGCACAACTTGAAGAATGTAATCAATGTCACTGAACTGTACATGTAGAAATTGTTGAACTGGTGTATGTTCTGCTGTGTGTATTCACAACAACAGCAAAAATAAAATAAATTATTTAAGAACCCTATAGCTATTATGACAGCATCTACAATTCCACAATTTCTGTCATACCTTTCCCTTGGCATGAGGAATGCCCAGAGGACACTGATGAACTCCACCTAACAAAGCAGCCATTGCAAAACTGTATCCACTAACAGCTTCTGGTGAAGTCTTCAAGTTGTTGAGCCGTTCTGCACACCTGTCTAGAAATGGTGTCAACTGGAAAGGTAGTGCCACAGCCACACAGCGCAAACACCATGCAGCAGCAAGTCGGGCAGCCATACTTGGATGAAGAAGCACCGAAGTCACAGTCTCCAAAAGTCCTGAACAAGCAATACTCAAAAAATTACTCTTTAATGAAGTCAAAAGAGTTCATGGACCAAAAGACTATGCACAACACAATTAAAATCATAATCATTATGGTTTCACACACAGAGTTTTAGAACTTTGTCAAAAACCATATATATTACTCAGAAACAGTACAGTAACTTAAGGGAACGTTTTATAAAAACAACATAGGACAATTACATCCAATAAAATATAAATGCTAATGTAAAATTAAATGAGAGTCTTCAATAAATATTAGTCAATGATTAGAAATAAAACTACCATGACCCTTTTTGATTTGTCTCCCAAAACTTTATTTCACTATTTAGTTCAATATTCACTATCATTAACAAATAATCTAAACTACTAATTATGATAATAAGCAATTAATCAGGAGTTAAATATCAACCATAACTATGACTTTTTAAAACAGTAAAAAACTACTCCAGCTAGTGATTGAGTATCATACCTATAGATGCTTCCTGGATAAGAGGGGAGGCAGTGGCGTTTAGGCTCTGGACCAGGCTCCCGAGCTCTTGGAGGGCACAGACCATCACATGCTGGCTTGCTGCAATGTCTGCTCCGCCAGACTTGTTTTCACCACTTGTATCATTCACTACTGCTTCTGGAAACAACATCATGCATTTGGGTGAATTAAATTATGATGTAATTTTTTGGTTTACACAGTTTATGTTTTTACATCATACCAATTGATTCCTGAGTGTTAAACAGCAATTATTTCTTGGAAGAAAACTTCTATCACTAAACACTTAAGCGACTTAAAAATATTGTTTAATGACTTCATGACAACACTTAAATATATACTAAGGTATTTTGTCTGCTTCTAGGAATGCAACCTAATCTTAGTTCATGTACTTGAATATGTAAGAGGCAACAAGCCACAGAACACAAAAGCTCAGGCTCTAGAGAAGGAAAACTTGGGTTCAAATCCTAGTTTCACCAGTCATATTAGTTATGTAATACTTGGTAAGATATTTAACTTTCTAAGTCCCAAGTTCCTCCTCTGTTAAAGAGCTTATGTGCAGTCTAGATAAAAACTTCTCTTTTTAGCACTGCTCCCTCCCATTATTCTCCCAGATTAGGAAATACAGGTTTCTGTGATTCTGTACTTCTTCATCCATTAAAAAGATAAACCCCGTGAAAACTTCACGTTCCCTTCACCTTATAGGGTTGTATTAATTAAATGAGATTATATAAATACTAGACATTATTATCTTATATATTATTATATTATCATATATATGAGACTATACATGCCTTATATAATCGTTTAATTGATATGTGTATATACATGTACAATGCTTAGAACAGTGTCTAGCACATAGTGTTTATTATTATTATTCTTTTCGTTGTGGTTTGGGTGAGGGTTTGCAGCTTAAGTTGGTTTCTTGTGCAAAGGTTTGTACATGTATTGTTTTGTGACACTGGCCGCGATCCCCATTATGTGGCGGCGGGCTCCCCCTTTCCACTCCGGGTTCCGTGTCCATTCAACCAGTTATCATTATTATTCTTATTGTCTGTAATTTCAATATTTAGCTGATCTGTTGACCAAGGATAAGCCATATAGGACCCAAGCAATACTCAGAGGACCCAGAGTTGGGTCCTTTGGAGTTTATGAGTGGGATATAATAGGGAGGCGCTGAGGCAAACATTTCTTAACTAGAGGTAAAGTTCACAATGGCATGCTGACACTTCTCCCAAATATATCCTGGGAGTTAAAGTGGTAGTAAAGGGCTGAAGATAGATGGTGGTTAGGAAATGTCAATGAACAAGATTATTTTTGATATTATTTTTTCTTACATAAATTTTGTTCAAAAGATTCAGCTGGGAACTGGAGTGAAAATGTTCATATCCTAGCTTTTGTGGTGTCCATCCTGTCTAGCGTGACATCAATAAAAAACCCTTTGAGATGCAGTCAAAAAAAAGAGCTTACGTGCCTATTATGATGACTAATATTATGACGCTTAATAGTCAATGCATATAGAGAATTTAGCACAATGCTGCCCCAGTACACATTCAATAAATGTTAGTAGTTATTACTTTATTAGTAGTATTATTTCAAGTATTCCAATATATTGATAGCATCATTGTTAAATTGTGGATCTATAAGGAAAGTGGCTTTGGAACTTGTTACTGGAATGTTCTTCAAAGTTCTCATTAGCTGCTATGTTACTTCCACCCCCTGCCTTTTGGCTTCCACTAGAATTGAAATCTATTTAACACGGGACAACTAAAGATTCCTTGTCAAATTACTAATCGAGAATATATTCTGGCCCATGAATCCCAGCAACATTGTATTTAATTCTGCTTTTAGCATTTCTTTAAAGTCAAATAGCTTATCTATGACCTTAAGATTAATAGCCTTTAAATGACAGCAAATTTTCCTTGCTTTTGCATTCCACATAAATTAACAGATTATGACAATATATAACATAGAATATAACCGAAGAGATTATGGACCATAATTAAATGCCTCTTCTCTTCTGACACTTCTGGACTTGGAAATGTATGAATGCTATCCTTTGATTACCAAATTATAAGCTCCCTAAGGACAGGTACTATCTGACTCTGGTTTGCTATCACTCCCAACACCTGACACACTGTCGGTGGCACCCAAGGATTTCTTCAGTGAATCAACGTACAAATATTTTTCAAGTTATGAACCTAGGATAGATTATTATTTTAACATACTTAACGAACGTTACTTCATTAATTCAAATATCCTTTAACTCACAATTCATAACTTTCAGTTAGCCCTATGTATTAAAAGATGGCTTGCAATTTCACCTAAAGCATAATAAGATAAAAGGCTTGCTAAGTAATCTGTTACAAACAGCAAAAATCTACAACTATAAATTTATTTTTATTTTATAAAGTATTTAATATCTTATCCAAATATAAATTACTTATTATTATCTATTCATTAAATTATTCCTAAAGACTTCTGTTAGATAATTTTCCCAATAGAGACCAAAGTTTACTAGTGGTTACCAGGGGCAGATGGGAAGGGGTAAAGGGGAGTCCAGAACCCTCTGCTGTGATCCCTGTCAAAGCAGTCAGTAGTGACAGCTGGGCACCATCTAGTTCTTCTGGGCTCAGACTGGTGGAGGCTGCCATAATTCTTTATTACTAAGGTTTCACAGCATATCTTTCTATCAACAAACCAACCCAACTGTCATCATGTTGATTTCGACTCATGGCAACCCCATGTATTTCAGAACAAAACTGCACTCCATAACGTTTTCAATGGCTGTGATCTTTCAGAAGTAGATTGCCAGGACTTTCTTCTGACGCGTCTCTGGTTGGGTTCGAATCGCCAATCTTTTGGTTAGCAGCTGCGTGCTTAACCATTTGAGCCACCCATGAACTCAATATCTTTCTATAGGGGACCAATAACCATCTGTAATTATCCCTCTCTAAGTTTTGATATTAAACCTACTAAGAAAAAAAATAATAACTCGTGTTTATAAAACAACAGGCTCCAAGTAAAAAATAGATTTAAATAGATTATTTAAAGATAGCAACCCAATTTCCTACTGCATACCAAGAGAGCTATAAAATCGGTATTTCCCACTGCTGTTGAGTCGATTCCGACTCATAGCGACCCTACAGCACTGAATAAAACTGCCCCGTAGGGTTCCCAAGAAGCGGCTGGTGGATTCGAACTGCTGACCTTCTCGTTAGCAGCCAAAACGCTTAATCACTGTGCCACCAGGGTGCCTATAAAAATCAGTATACGTACTAGAAATAAAACAGAAAACCTAATCTTACAAATACACTACCCAAATCCTAAAAACTTTTATTTCACTGTAATTTTATGTTGTTTTAATATCAAATAAGAATATGCAATCAAAATGACTATTAAAACACAGTCCATAAAATAAACAATATCACCTGTGGGTACTGTGCTCCTTTAAAAAATCATCTACATGAGACAAAACGGTCAACACTTACTCTAAAGCAAAGACAAAAAGGCAAAGGGGCAAGGAAAGGAAATTACTGGAAATGGAACAACCAGAATGCAAACAATGAGAAAGTTGACACGCTGTGTAAAATGTAACCAATGTCACTGAAATTGTTAAATGGGAACCTAATCTGCTGTGTAAACTTTCACTGAAAACATAATGAAATATTATTTACAAAACAAAATACAGTCCAGAAAGAGATATGGACTAATTAGATTTGTAAGGTATTTATTAAAAATAATAAAGAACTAAATATAACTACGATAATCAATAACATATATTGTAATGTCATTTCTTACCTACTGCTTTCATTTGTTTTCCGATGGCTTGGCAGATTTCCTTGGCAGCTGCAATCTGGGCTTTTTCACCTAGCAAACTGCCCACGGTAGCTCTTAGGATAAAGGAGACACATCGTCTTGAGTACACAGCCTCTACATGTGTTTGTGTTGCCCGAGGATGAGAAACCAGATCAAGTACATGGGACAAGAATGTAGCAAAGCTACGCTCCAACCACTGACCACCCAATGTTGTCACAAAAACAACATATGCCTATAAATAGATTAAGACACAACTTCAGATAAATTTATATAAATACATTAAAATTAGATAAAGCGACTAAAGAAATAACTGATAACATGCAAAATAAATTCTGTATAATATGTATACAATAAACTATTATGATAATAATTATAACAATAAATATTATACTTCTTTAAACAGAGAAAATTTAAAACTTGAGACCTTATTTAGAAATTCTAGCATAGGAACTACTGGTAGAATTATCTTTGACTCAATAGCTTCGTAAGAAACTAAGAGAGTGGTGAGGGAAGGAAGGAATAGCTGAACTCACTTTGGTGATCAGGCAGGTAACAGGTTATAGGAATAACAAAACCCTAACCCTAAATAAACACTGACCTAGAACTACAAAATATTTATGACTTTCTCTGTAAGATAAAAACGGCTTACTTCTATTTTACACTGGTTTCAGGGGCAAGGTATAGTTGGGATGACTTCATGACTAGGACCATGAAGAACCCATTCCATCTTCTTATATAGAAAGCAGCAAGCATATTTGGTGTTACCATTCTAAAATTTAAACTCCAAGTCAGATTTGATCTCACAGCAATAACTGATCATTGACAGTAAATCCAATCAAAACATTAGGCAATATTTCTAGTTATAAGAATTGTTGGAGAACATGAAAATCTAAATGTCTCAAGCTTCCTGAATACAGTTTCAATTAAAACTGAATTCTTTAATATCTTACCATTTCCAAGCAAAATTTGAGAAAACTCCACGAGATATTTATATAAATATAGTAGACACAGGCATATTTAAATGTCAAGCATCTACCTTTCCATATCAGCACATAATTTGGAGTTTGAATGCAATTCATTCGATAACAGAAATATTTTGAAAGAAACTAGACAATATTAACAATCTGTGTGTGTTATTACTTATTGATAGTCTTCCATGAAATCCCACAATTGATATGAACAGAATTCTTTTATACATGAATATATTACAAACCTGTGTAACTCCAACTCTTACTTCACGATTAACCGACCCTCCAACTTTTAACATTTCTCCACCACTCTTTAAGAAACCTGACCCTCCACGTAGAAATCCTGTGGCCATGAGTTCTAAGACTTCATCTAATGTTGCTCGCTTCACATTCTGGCGCATTACTTTCAGGAAGAAAAGTAAATTTATAAGTCAAGATATTTCTAAAATGGATTTGTAGTTATTAATTAAATCCTATTTTCTAGTAATATACAGTTTTAAAAGGCAAGTAATTCTTTTTAACAGCACCTTCTCTGATTGTAAAAGTAATAGTTAACATGCATTAGAAAGAATTTGGAAAATAGAGAAAGGTATAGGGGGGAAAAAAACAAGCATAATCCCACCACCCAGGTATAACCACTACTGACATTTGGTATGCTTCTTTTTTCAATCACTTTACTTTGTGAATAAAAATTGATACAAATATACAAACTTGCTTTGTGTAACAGTGGGAGAGTATGTCCTGATCTTAAAATGAGACTTTCCTTGCCTTAGTTTTGTTCAAGGGTCCACAAGGACTAAAATAAAAAATAGATGGAACATATCTCTATGTTCACAAGCAGTATAAAAAGTTGAGACTAAAGAGACCATGATAAGGGATTTCACTGGAAAAAGTTTTTAAAGTGTAGTAGGTTTTTTCCTTCTTCCCCTTACCTCAAACCAACTAAAGGCGCGTTAAGAGATCACCTTCCTTTTAATGATGCGGCACAAAATCCAGTGCCATGCCTAAGTCCAAACATATTTAGAAGCAAAAGGCTGTGACTGAAGCTGGCAGCTTCATAGAAGAGTAAAGAGAGGTAGCTATACTAAGGTTAGGAGAGATATTAATTCCGTGCAAAGTAGCTGGTCTGGGTGTTGTTTTAAAACGGACCCCACATAGAAGATTTCCTGCCAGGATAAGGTAACCTTAGCAACTGAGGGATGCAGAACAGTAGTAAATGACCAGCCAAAGACAAGGGATTTACAGTCAGATGCTCTGAGTAGGTGTTCATAAGAGTGTTTTAAACACCAGCTGAGCTCAGAGAGCAGCACGGCCAGATCATGACAATGTCAGTAAGTGAAGCCTTTCCTGTGTCTTACCCTGCTCATGGCTCATCTGACACTGACAGAGAAGAGCAGAATACAGTGGAAAAGCAGAAAATGGCCAAAGCTGTCCTACCCCTCTTCCTACTGCCAGCTTCCAACTGAAACCATGTTCGAACTGGAGGAGAAAAGAAGTTTTAACTTTTAATGAAATTCAGGGTTTTGCCTATTAAAGAGAACTAAAAATTTAAAATACTGAAATGAGACTCTACCTGTGACTAGATATGAATAAGAAAAAAATGATGGTCTTTGCCTAAGATTTCATCTACAGATAGGAAAAGAACAAGCTCATAGCATAGAATTGAAGGGCCAGTGAGAGTGGAGCTGGGCAGACAGAATAAAATTGTTATTCGCTTGTACCCAAAGCAGTTTATGCATATGTTTTTCTCTATTTTTTTTTTTTACCTATTATATAGTGAGGAATTTACCTTTTCACCACATTTTTAAAGACTACATAACAACATTTGACCTTATGAGTATACCGTAACTTAATCTGGCCATCATCCTCTTGCTGGATATGTGTAAGTTTCCAACTTAATCCTGAGATATACACCTATTGTATATAAATCTTTGAGTTTTTAAAAACTTTTCTGGTCATTTTTCTAGAAATGGAGTAACTGGGTCAAAAGGTACAAAATGTTGAAGACTACTTTCTTAGAAGGCAGTAACAATAAAAGCTTGTGAGCGGCCAACTAAGATACAACTACTGGTCGCTTCCCATTGGGAGAAAAGAGAAAGAAGGAAACCAAAGGCTCAAAGAGGAAACTACTCTATAGGACTAACAGCCAACATGAACCACAGCCTCATCCATCCTGACACCAGAAGAAATAGATGCCTGGCTACCACTAACGACCGTTATGTCCAGGGCAAAATAGATGGTCCCAGATACAATGGGAGAAAAACATAGAACAAACCTCAAATTCCTAAAAAAGGCCAGACTTATTGGACCGATCGAGACCAGAAGATCCCCCAAGATTCTGCCCTGAGATGCCCTTTAAACTTGGAACTGAAGCCACTCCCAGAGGTCACTTTTCAGCCAAATAATAGACTGGCTCATAAAATATACAATATCACCCGTGAGTACTGTGCTCCTTTAAGTAATCATCTATATGAGACCAAATGGTCAATACTTACCCTAAAGCAAAGATGAGAAGGTAAAGGGGGGCAGGGAAGCTAGATTAATGGAAACCGAACAACCAAACAGAAATAATGACAATGCTGACACATTGTAAAAAATGTAACCTATGTCACCAAACAATATGTATAGAAATTGTTAAACGGGAATCTAATTTGCTGTATAAATTTTCAATAAATACAATATAAGAATAAAAAAGGTGAAAATTTTACATTGTAGTACCTGCTTTTAAAAAAAGTTACCAAATGTGAGTTATAATTTTTTCCGTTTTCTAATTTGATAGATGAAAAGTTTTATTCCACTGTTTAGTTTTACATTTTGACCATAGTTGGATAATTTAGATAGAAAATGTTAATGTATTTGTTTTTACTATTAACATCATATTCTCAACTAAAGAATATTATTTAAGTTCTACCATCACAAGTTATACTGAATATCCATTGCTGACCGTTTGAACTCCACCATCTTAGGGAATACATATGATGCCAGCAACAGAATGCTGCTAGAAACGTGGATGTTAAGTGTGCTTCTGGTGCAGCTTTAAAAGAAAATGAACATGTGATTGAACAATGGAGGAAGGGAGACGCTTTTTATGCAGTGGCAAACAGCTTGTCTGAATTAAGTTCAAATGTTTGGTGGAAAGCAGAACTTGTAAGTGATGAAGTTGCATAGCTGGCTGAAGAGATTTCTAAGCAAGATCTTAAAGGGGCTGTGTGGTTTCTCCTTGCTGCTTACAGTAAAATGTGAGAGGAAAGAGATGGACTTAAAAATAAACTGTGCAAAATGAAAATAGAACTTAAAATTTTTGATTTAGAAAATTCTGTTGTACAAACTAAGGACATGTGTCCTGGAATATTCACTAAACACGTGGCTACATAATCTTTTGTTAAGGAGATTAAGCTGGTGACTGATGGATCTAACCAACTACCACACCAGAAAGCCCATCAGCTTAGACTGAAGCGGACACAGAAAGAATGAAAGGAAAGAACGCTGTCTGCTTCTTAGAATTCTACAGGCAGGAAATAGGCCAAAGGAGCTACAGCTGTTGTCCTACAAGAAAAGAAATGGACCATCCCTGGAGCAGCCTGGAGATCAGCAGAACTGTTGGAAGAAGAATGGGAAGCAGCACCTTCTTGGTTTCAAAGCATGGGGACATGGTCTTCCGGATTTCAAAGAGCCAGATCTTTGCCAACTCAGTTCCAGAGAGTGGGGTTGCTGATAAAGTGTGCCAGAGGGATGGGACCACTGCCCAAAGCTGAAGGGGCGGGGCTGCCATGCCCAATGGGCAGAAGAACAGGCCCTCCTGGGGCCAAGGGGGGTGGGGCCACCACTCAGATGGACTAGGAAAAGGGGATTGCTCAAAGCCGAGGGAGCAGAATTGCCATCCCAGTGGGCCTGGAAGGCAGAGTTAAAGCCCAGGGCTGAGAGGCCTTCACCCAGAACACAGAAAGCATGGCCAACACCCAGAGTCTGGAGGGCAGGGACATTGCCTGGATGGTCTAAGAGAACAGAGGATTATTTTCAAGCCTTGAGATCTAATGTGAATTGTTTTGCTGGACTTTGGACCTGCTTGGTGCCTGTTATCCCTTCTTTCTTTCTAATTTCTCCCATCTATAATGGAAATGTCTACCTTGTGCCTGTTCCACCACTGTACTTTAGAAACAGATAACTTGTAATCTAGATTTCACAGGTTTGCAGATGAAGAATTTTTCCCCAGGATGGAATATGCTTACGGTCTCACTCATATTTGATTTAGAGAATTTAGAAAATGAGACTCTGGTCTTGGTGTTGATTTAAGACTTTTGGGATGATGTGATGGGGAAAATGTATTTTTCATGTGGGAGGGACATGAATTTGGGGGGGCCAAGGGGTAGAATGTTATGAATTGAATTGTGTCCCCCCAAAATAGGTACTGTAATTCCTAACCTTTATGCCTGTGGTTATAATCCCATTTGGGAACGAGGTGTCTCTGAAATGTTAATAAGGCAGGATTATGTAGGGTGTCTTAAGTAAACCTCTTTTGAGATATAAAAGATATTAAACAAGTAAGAGAGAGAAGCAGAGATGGGGGAAGAGAGATGCCAAGCCACATGAAGGTCACCCAAAAGCAGAAGCTAAAAGAAACAAAGACCTTTCTCTAGAGCCAAGAGAGAGAATGCCTTCCTCTAGAGCCAGCACCCTGAATCTGGACTTTTAGCCTCCTTAACTGTGATGAAACAAATTTGTTTGCTAAAGCCACGCATATATGGTATTTCTGTTACAGCAGCACCAGATAACTAAGATAGCGGTTAAGTACCTAGGCTTTAGAATTTGACTACCTGAATTTGAATTTCAGCTCTGACACTTACTAGAACACAAGTTAAATACTTCCAAGTCTCAATTTCTTCATCTATAAAATGGCAATAACAATAGCACTTATAACTCACGGGGCTTTTGTGAGGATTAACTAAAACAATTCTGCAATATGCTTAATGCAGTGCCTGGCACATAGGTAACACTTTTAAATATTACCTATCATCATCATCTAATTCATTAACTGAAATAATTATCATTAAAGATGAGAAAATCAAAGCTCAAAGAACTTACGAAGAGTTTCACTGCTAGTAAATATGAGGGCTAGGACTTGCACCTATAACATCTGTTTCTCTTTCTATGATATAGGGTGTGGTAGGGATGGGTACAACAGCAGGGCTGGGCTCACTCAGCCTTACAACTCACCCTGAGGCATTTCTATGGAACTGTGAGGCACTGAAGTCATAAAAATCAATGCTGCCTCTGATTCTGCTTACAGTAATGATTAAAAAGGAAAAAAAAAAAAACTAATGTTGTACTATACATGGGGATCTACTCACCAGAGACTGAACTAAGAAAGCATATAAAGAACCAGATTCCAATCCCTTGAACATTATACAAAACCATTTGATACATCTTATTTGTTTATATGTCTAGCATAATTGCTACTTATTATTTTATACATTATCATCATAAAAAATATCTTGACTATGGCCCCTGGACTCTCTGGTTAGCCCAAAACTAAAACCATTCCCGAGGCCAACTCTTTAGACAAAGATTAGACTGGACTATGGGACATAAAATGATACCCGTGAAGAGTGTGCTTCTTAGCTCAAGTAGGTACACGAGACTAAACAGGCAGCTCCTGTCCGGAGGCGAGATGAGAAGGCAGAGAGGGTCAGGAGCTGGTTGAATGGACATGGGCAATGCAGGGTGGAAAGGAGAAGTGTGCTGTCACAGTATAGGGAGAGGAACTAGGGTCACATAACTATGTGTGTATAAACTTTTGTCTGAGAAACTTACTTGAACTGTAAAGTTTCACTTAAAGCACAATTAAAAAAAAGAAATTAAAAAATATATATCCTGACTAAAAGATATTAAAAAAAAAATCTTGACTATACTAAGGAAAATGCCATTTGGGTATTTCGTTTTATGGAAAAGTAGACAAAGATAGCTAACAATTTAAATGCTTTAAAATGACTTGCCTATATGTAATAACTAATTTAGAAGAAAGCATTCCACATTCCTTCAAACATCTATTATACTGTAATCAAGGCTTGGCAAATACCATTACCTGTAGCCTGTTTTGGCATCAATGCTGTTGCCATGACTGTTCCTAAGAGTTTAGACACCGCCACTCGTACTCCATAATTTGAGTTTTCCAAAGCCTTAAAGCAGAGAGTAGCTATATTTTCCAGTTCAGCTGTCCACATGAATACAGCTTCATTCTGTAGTTCTAGTAGACACTGGAATTAAAAAAAGTAAATTACATCCTGGAACTTCCACTTCTGGAAATGGAGTAACTGGAATCTGACTTGCCCTCCCTCCTGAAACAACTCAAAAGTTGGAAAAAAATGTACGAAGACATTGGCCATCAGGCAATGAAGGATAGTGATCCTTTGGAGATGGGAAACAATGTGAGCCTTCTGACTGCCCCAATCTTCGGCCTTGAGTTTCCAGTACTTAGGGGGAAACATGTAACACTAAACCCCTATAATAGAGAAAAAAAAAGGTCTCAAATCAATAACCTCAGCTTCCATCTTCAACTAGATGAAGGGTAAATTCAACACAAAGTAAGGAAAACAAAGGAAATAATACAGATTTAATACAGAGGAAATCAGTGAATCAGAAAACTGAAAAATAATAGAAATGAAACTAAAAGCTAGTTCTTTGAAAAGACCAATAAATTTGATAAATGTAGCAGACTGATAAGGGAAAAAAAAAGATAAAAGGCCAATTATCAAAGTTAGAAACAAGAAGGTCATATCGCTACAGATACAACAAACGTTGAAAGAATAGTAAAGGAATATTATGAACAAGTTTATGCTAATAAATTTGATAACTAAGATAAAATAAACAAATTCTTTGGGACATTATCAAATCTCACTCAAGAAGAAACAGATAACCCGAACAGCCAATATCTATTAAAAGTAAGTTTGTAGTTAAAATCCTTCCTGTGTAATTTATTGTGTGTCAATTATACTTCTGTTAGGAAGAAAAAGAGTGTATTACATCCTAAAAATTCCATAAGCTCTGATACTATATTAGATAGCATTTATATGTAAACTATTTTAGCTTGATTATTTTATAATCATTTATGGAATAAAAATACAATTAAGTTTGAGATAAGCTAAAATTTGGTTATTTGTGAAATTAAACTAATACTCTTGTATGCTATTATTTTACAAGTGAGAAAACAGAGGCACAAAAAGATTAAACATCTTTTCCAAATTAGATAGTTAGTAAGGGGTAGGCCCCAAATTTGAACCAGGAATTCTAACCACAGAGCCTATACACTTAGCCACTATGATATTATTATCTAATTACAAGACAGGAGAAAGAGAGATACCATCATCTTCAAGTACCTTGTTCTCTCATCTGAGAGAAGTTCTTAATCATAAGAATTGAAGATAGCCAGAGAGAGGAAGGTTAATACACCAGTTGAATAAATTAATCAATCAGAGTGCAGAGATGGAAAATAAATTCCTTACCAGAAAAAGGTTCTATCCTTCTATTAAAACCACAATGAATTTCTCTTTTAAAAGCAAAACTATATCTAAGTTTTTAACATACTTGCCATCATACTTTAAAACTTAAAGAGAACAGAAATAATTGACTATTTAAGAGTAAGCAGGATAAAGAGAAGCATTATAAATTGGTTGAGTACTAACCTTGGCAACTGCACATCTAACAGCCATTGACCTGTCTGTCAAGAGGGACCTGGCGTTCTTGTAAATATCACGATGAGAGGAAGCTGCCGCACCACCCAGTCCATTGAGAACTTTCTGTAAACTCATTAAGATTTCACTTCGCCCTTGAGACTAGACATGTACATAAACCAAATCTGAAAATCTATGTTGTAAAACAAATTTCATATTTAAACAAGAACATACAAAAATACAAATTCTCTGAGCCCAATGATCTTATTTCTAAATTTTAAACAGTCAGTAATGAATAAATACTAAAAACTTAAGTATCCTAGAAAGTACCTGAAAGGTAAGAATTATTAACTTCAATTAAATATCTTTCTGAGAAACTATACTAAATAAACATATTCCAAGCTTAAACAAATAAAATTCTGTATGACATGTTGAGGTGCAATAAAATGAGAACATGAAGCAAATTCAAAAGCATCAATATCATATCTCAAGAGTCCAAACCCTCAGAATTTGAAAGGTTAAGAAAAGTAGTTAAGAAGAAATATAAATCACCTGAAAAAGAAATAAGAAAATATTCAAGACATTTAAAAACCTTGGAACTCATATATTTGAGGGTAAAAGGAAAGAATATAATGTAATGTACATTAAAAAAAAGGCACATAATAATTTTTAATTACCTTCTTCCTTGATAAGTTATATGAGTTCCCCAGCGACAGAAAAAAGGCAAATATGTATTTTTAAGTGACATCTAACTCTTGCCATGAGCAAAACATTCAAATGTAATTGGCTGTAAAACTTACCTCTGCACTTTTCAGAGATTTCAAAAGATTATTTACTGTTTCTGGAAATGCACTGCCTAACATTCTCCCCATTTTTTCATAAAATGCTCCAACACAGGCTACTGCCGCCCTGTAAGAAAGGATAGTTTCGTCGGTCATCATCCAGGTTAATACAATTTCATTATATTTTTCTCATTTTCAAAAATCAATTTGTATTTGTCTAGGCCACACTTTCCTATAAATCCTTAATTAACTTTCAACTTCTGAAAACACCTTGTTTATTCACTATAATTGCAACAAATACTATAAAGTTAATAAAACTATTCTCACTAAGAATACAGAAGAGTAAATATATGTACACATAATAAACTGTGCTTATCCTTTAGGAGAAAGCTCAAGCTTTCCTTTTATGAAGACTTCCTAACTATGTCAATCTACAATGATTCCTCCTTTAACTTGACTATTTTATATGTCTGTATCTAATTTCATGAGTAGAACTGTAAAGTTGGAAAACAAGAAATGTACCTTATACATTCTGTACTACTCATAGTACCTAGCTGGTACTACACAAATCATAGGCACTATCAAACAGGTGTAAAATTTATCTAAATTACTCTAATGGAACATTTGGCTACCTGAAAGAAGAAATGTTAACAGCGTAATAGCTCTATAGCAGTGAAACTACCCACCATCACTCAGTAAATAGTGAATAAGCAGATAGCTGTGAGTTTAGCTTAGAGAGGCAGGAGGAGAATACAGTGGTTAAGAACATATGCTTTGGAATCTGGCACACCTGTGCTTAAACCCTAGCACTTGCCACTTAGCAGATCATGTGACTTCAGCAAGTTACTCTGAAGCTGGAGAGGTCAAGTGAAGTTAGTTCAGGATCATACAGGTAATAAATAGTAGAACTGGGGAGACAACCGTCCCATCGACTCCAAATTCCATAACTTCTTTTTAATACTGAACTATCTGGTGGTTTATAGAAAGTTTGTGGACCCCTGCACTACAACATACATCTTCCACTCATCTCTCTAACCCCTTACCTGGCTAATTTCCACATAACCTGTGAGAAGCTTTCCTTGACACTGCTCTCCCCCTACAGCCCAGCTAACCTTACTTAGGTGTTATTTTCCCTCCCCGCAGCACCCTTCACTGTGCCATAACTGAGGATTTTCTTACTTGACTCACAAGATGCATTCCTGTAGCTGTTTCCTCAACATTTGCTCCTAAAACATCTGTTCTTGGCTCAAACTATAAGTATGTGCTAGGAGCTGGGTTAAACCTTTAATCTAGGGGTCAGCAAATCTGTGGACTAAAAGATTTCAGTCTCAACTACTGAACTCTGCCATTATCATATGAAAGCAGCTACCATTAAACAAATGGACGTGTCTGTATTCCAAAAAAACTTTGTTTACAAAAACATGCAGCTGACTAGATTTGGCCTACAGCTATAGTTTGCCCATTCCTGTCTCAATCCCATGACCTAGAAACACTTTTCTTTCCATTTCCAGACAAGAACATGATGTCCATCCAAATTTACCAAAAGGCCCGTGTGCTGAAAATTGCTGACAACATACCAATTCTCTGTTATTTGCCGAAAATCCTAATGATGAGCGGAGCACACGTGGAAGTACAGCCCCTTCCCCAGAACTACTCAGAGCTTCTTTTACTGTCAGCAGCACACCTCAGGTTCCACCCACATGGGGGTCTTTACAGGCAGCAGTCCCTTAAGGTAAGTCACTCTGAAAGAATAAATAACCTTCAAGGGTTCCTATCAAAGTAAGTACTTACAATTTTGTTGGTAAGTAGGCTGCAGTGTCATCTTTATTTCTGATAATGTCATTACATTTATCAAGTGTTTGAAAAACAGTAAAAGTATCCCCAATGCTATAAAGGGCTGCGAGATTTTTAGCTAGCAGTTTCCGTGTAGGTGGTCCAGGTGAACTACTTATTAATCCAGTTAGTTGTTCAACAAGTTTTTTCTGTTTTTCCTTTACATCAGTCTGTTATTTAAAAACAAACAAAAATGATCATTTTTTTTTAAGTATAGTGATGCAGTGGTTAAGTGTTTGGCTGCTAACTGAATAGCTGGCAGTTCAAACCCACCCAGCGGCTCCCTGGCAGAAAGACCTGGATGGAGATCCGCTTCCGTATAGATCACAGCCAAGAAAACCCTATGGGGCAGTTCTACTTTGTGCTATAGGGTCTCTATGAGTCAGAATTAACTTGACTGCAACAGGTTAAAAGTAAAAATGTAGCAATACAGTCATTTTATTTAGAGGATGGACATAGTTAAAAAATCATCTATAAGAACTGAATTCATTTGCTTTTAAGAAGGAAAATAATGTGGGAGGAGAGTCTGGAGACTCCTAGCTTTTGGAACAAGATTTTAAGCTATGTTTCAACCATGTACATGTATAATTTTGACTTTAAAACTAAATTTTTAAAACAGTGGGTATGGAAGATTAAGTGAAGGAGGCAAATACACACAACTCTTTTACAGAATTTCATTATAAAGAAGAAAAGAGAAATGGAACATTAGCTACAAGGGAACATGGAAATTAAGAAACAGGATTTTGTTTATATTTTGTTTTTGAAGATGGGAGATAATACAACATATTTGTGTCTTGAAGGGACTGCTCCAACTGAAAGGGGAAAATGAATGATGCAAAAGTTCAAAACATGGGCAAAACAAATTCATGTTGTGAGAAATCAGGATAGTGGTTACATCTGGCAAGTAGTGATGGAGAGGGAGCATGAAGGAGGCTTTTGTACTGCTGGTAACATTATATTTCTTGATTTGCATGGTAGTTATATTGATGGGTTCTCTTTGTGATAACTCACTGAGCTGCAGATTTATAATTTATGCATTTTTCTGCATATATATTATACTTCAAGCTCAAAGGTTTTAAAAATTGATAATACAGGAGAAGAGAAAAGAAGGAAATGCAATCTCGTGCACAAATGGAGAGACTGGCCTTCAACAGAAGCATGGACAGTTCATGTAAAAAACAGGAGGAAAAGCAGAGTGTACGGATACACATGCAAGAGGAGGAATAGATGTAGTGATGGGAACACGTGGACGTTCTCTGCACTTAGTATTTTCACAATGAAATAGGAAGCAAGGCCATCAAATAAAAAAGAGGAATGGAGGAGGAAGTGCTGGACAGCTAAGAAGAAAAAAGTAGGCGTGAAACGTTTTCTAGCAAACCAGGGAACTATACAGTAGGATTGCTAGACAGCACTGAGGGACCATTGAAGTTGATGATGATGAATTTAACATAACACCAGTCACTTAATCATGTTTTTCTCCAGTCAGAGACATGGAGCAGGCAGCGAGCTGGATTTAAATGAGGTCTGGGTTTTGTCACAGAAAGGTAAAGGGATAGAATAGAAATTCCTATTACAACACAATATTCTCAAGTTCCATAAGTGACCTGCAAACATAATGTGTATTTTCCTACAAGTCATAAACACGTAATACTCTTTATCATGACTACCCAATTAGAAAGAAAACAACACCATACCTTGTTGGCAGCAACCAAGACTTTATCAAGAAATCGCAGCCATTCAAAGATAAAAACTGGTCTCTTTGCTTCTGTGATTTGAGCCAAAGCATCTTCATTTAACAGCAAACTGTGTGCTAACTCCATTATCGGTGAAGTTTTAAATTCACACCTTAAATTGATAGATCAAAAAATACTCATAGGGTTTTCTTTAATGTTAAAAGTTGAGCTTAATGAATGAAACTACTAATAAAAGAAAAGTATGTCTTTACTTCTCATTTCATTTGGGAAAACCTAAGCAACTTTGAAGTAAAACCAAAAAATATAATTTTAAGGGACAAGGCTATAAATAAAAACAACAAAATTAAAAAAGTTAGAAAGCAACCTGTGCTCAGTGATGAAGAATAAATAATGAAGTGAAAAGAATATTAAATGTTGCAAATAAGGCATTATTCCAGAAGAAATACACGTCATCAACCCATTTCATAAATGAGAAAACGAGCACCAAAACAAACCAGGACCGCTGGGCCCGACAACCCATCCTCCCTTTTTTTGTCAACGGCTCGGTGCATATCACCCTTACCCCGTCCCTGCTGCACCTGTCCGAGCATAAAGAACCCAAACTGAATGTCTCCAAGAGTCTTCCTAGGGCCGGCCAGGTTTCCCCGCGAAGCTTCAGTGACAACAGCGGGTGGCCCGGGACTGCAGCCAGCCAAGGCCTCGCGCGCCAGGGCTGGTATATCCCGGCTACTGCGAAGGCCGTCGCTCAGCGCCGGGCCTGGGGAAAATGCAAAAGGCCGCCGCAGGCCTGGCTCGGGTCACTAGCGCTGTCAACTCCAGGAGGTGGCCGCTGGGAACGGAGCCGGCAGCCTGAAAAAGGAAAATGTTCACATTATGGGCTCAGATTTCTTCCCCGCCCCAACGGAAATATACTGGGGACAGGGGTGTGTCTGCGTATAAACGTGCAAGTTTTAGCGCAGGATACGATCACCCTCACCTCCTAGTTCAGCAGCGAAGATCAGCTGAGCTCGGACGAACAAGCAGCCGCCGAGGGAGCCGGAAACCCCGCCTCCTACACACCTACCAGCAGGAAACGAGGGGACAGCGCGTGCGCGGAAGACTTTTTTTTTTTTTTTTTTTTTTGCGCAAGCGCACTAACCACATCTTCCTAGACCCGCCTGCCGCAAGTTGCCAATTGATTCCGCACACGGAAATCAGGTGGGAGTAGCGCGCTGGGCGGTAGACGTGTGCGGGGCGCGCTTCTCGCGGGCCTGCCCGGGGTGAGTAGAGTTGACAGGTAAGGTGCTAGGGGCTCTCGACAGAATAGTGAAGGCCAGATGTGCGCTGATTGTAACTTCCTCACCCCATCATCACCCATATTCTTATGCGTGTGTGATTGCGTCGGTGGGATGCTTGCAGACGGGAGGAACATGAGTGGGAAAGTATCCGCGGTCCCCGAAGGGGCTTATTTGAGAGTCAGGCGTTTCTTGTCACCTTCCTACACCCGACTGTACATCCAACGACTTAGGCCATCTCTGCACTTGAAGCCTAATGGGATTCTCAATATGTCTGAAACAGCACTCCTGTTGTCACTTCCACGTCAAAAGCAAAAACCCTGTTCTTACTGTCTTCCCACTCTCAAAAAATGGTAACTATATTCTTCCAGATATTCAGGTCAAGAGCCTTGGAATAATCCTTGACATAGGTCTTTCATACACCACCTCCAGTACATCAGCAAATCCTGTTAGTTCTACCTTCAGAATATACCCAGAATCCGACCACTTCTCACCCCTCCACTGCTATCCCTCTCGTCCAAGCCACCATCATCTTTGCCTGGATTATCGCCTTGTGAAGTTTATGCTTATGTGTGTTGGGAATGGATGATGCTATAGTATATTGTACCGATTATAAGCGAGCTTTAAAAAGAACCTGGAACCCCCGTTCTGGTCTGATACAAACTCCTAGCACTCGGAGCTAAATGGGTCTCTTAAAAATAATCTAATGCTATTTGCAGCGGCAAGAGCCCTGAGATCTGAATTCTTTGTGGTTTTGAGCAAGTCATTTAGCCATACTGAGCCTTCAGTTCTCCACATGGAAAGCAGGACTATTTCTACCTTATTGTTGTTAGTTGCCTTTGACTAGGCCTGATTCATGGCGACCTTCCCAAAAAAAACCAAACCCATTGCCTTTGAGTTGATTCCAAATCATAGAAACCCTGTGGGACAGAGTAGGGGTTCCAATACTGTAAATCTTTTTTTTATTTTTATTTTACTGTTGTACTGTAAGTGAAAGTTTACAATTCAAGTTAGTCTCTCATACAAAAATTTATACATACATTGTTATGTGACCCTAATTGCTCTCCCTATACTGTGACAGCACATTCCTCCTTACCACCCCTGATTTCTCGTGTCCATTCAACTAGCTCCTGACACTCTCTGC